AACATTTTACAAATAACTTTTGTTTTAAATCTTGGACTTTTTTTTTTTTTTTTTACAAAAAAAGACCAATAAAAAGGTAAAAACACAAATAATATTAAAATTGATTTGAATAATGTTTTGGCTAAAATAGTCAAAAAGTGTGGTTATGACCACTATACAACAAGCTAATTCAGAATAGTGGTTAAAATGTCACTAAATGGCTCTATTTAAATCTCATAATTAAAAAGAAAATGAGGCGTATAATTGCAGAAAGGTCCACTTTTTAAAAAAAAGAACCAGCCATTTCACCAGGCTGGCTACGGGCCTGTCATACCATCACCGTCAACAAAAAAACGAATAAAAGGGAAATTTCACATGAGAAAGTGGATTTACGGCTATTTTAATATTCGTGGATTTACGGCTAAATATTAAGGAAACTTAAACATTTTTTGTGTTAAAATTCCAGATGTTTTATAAATGAATAAATGAATGCATATATTGTACATAATTTGTCCACAGAACTAACCTTTCTCTGACAGTTTCTGATTTGGAAAACTGATATTGAAATTCTTGATTTTTAGTTTAGTTGATAATATAAATGAGCAATCATGCAGAAATGCTGTATACTGTATCATATGAGTCAGGTTTAAGATATTATTGACTGTTATGATTAACAAGAATCTTGTACTTTTTCTCCTTGAAGGGATAATTTGCCCAAAAATTTTAATTCTGTCATCATTGACTCAACCTTCACTTTTAACAAACCTGAGTTTCTTTCTTCTGTTGAGCACAAAAGAAGATATTTGTGGAAAATGTGTTCATTTATTTATTATTATTATTTTATTTTAATTTTTGCGGATGTCAATGGTTATCCAGATACCAACATTCTTCAAAATATCTTCTTTTGTGTTTAGCAGGGGGAAAAACTCAATTATTTGCAATTATTTTGCTGCTTGTTCAAACTAATTTAAAATGTGCTGAAACAACACAATTCTCGGGATTTTTTTTAGGGACAACCTAATTGTTTTGTGTTCAGTCCACAATTTGTTAAGTTACCTTAATCAATTTGCAACAGGTTGTGTGGAACCCTGCATTTTTTTACAGTGTAGTGACTAAAAATGTAAATTTTTTTGGTCAACTACCCCTTTAAAATGTAATGTAATATAATGCATTATACAACACTGACACCATCTGGACAGTATGTGGAATCTCCATCATACTAAATCTGTGGTTTGGTCACGTTTTTTTCTGTTCATGTAGATTTAAAAAAAGCAAAAACAAATGACATTTGTTTGTAAGCCACTTAACTGCGACCAAACATTTTAAAGTAAAGAATGTAGTGTTTTGAACAGTACTATAGAAAAATAATATAATACCCATACACCGTACCTACAAGTCTTTGTTAATGATTGCTACATTGTACATTAACTACATTGAACTGATAAACTGGATTAAAAACTGTAGTATACTTCAGTAATCTGTGGAGTGTTGTGGTATAATATACACTAGTTATAGAAAACTATTGTATTGGGTAATTTGTTAATTATATAGTTGTTGTTCATAACTCGCAATTCTGATTTTATAACTCGAAATTTTGACTTTGAAACTCAGAATTGCGACTTTATAATTCAGAATTCTGACTTTATACCTAAAAAATTTGACTTTCTAACTCAGAATTGCGACTTTATAACTTTTTAGAATTCTGACCTCATTACTAAGAATTCTGACTTTATAACTCGCAATTCTGACTTTATAAGTCGGAATTCTGACTTTATAATATTTTTACATTGTTTATATTTATTTTTTATCTTTTTATTCAGTGGCTGAAATGAGCTTTTTAAAGGGTTTAACCATATGAACTATAGAATAACCAGAACAGAATAATTGAAGTTATTTATTTATAGTGTGATTTAAAAACTATAGTATTTAACATTAAAGTATTTAATAAAAACATACTTTTTAATGGGTCGAAATTACTGCATATAAAAATAACTTCTGCAACAAGCAGAATCTTATGATTCTTGCACATGTTTGCATATTTAAATATAAACAGCTTTTACAAATTCTGATGTCTAAACCTAATGACTGACCAGAAGTAAAAAGATAAACGTAGACTACAAACAAATTATACAGTGGTAGTTAAACATGAGCTTCTGACATTTTTGGTTTTTATTTAAAAACAAATAAAAAAAATTCTCAAGCACAATTTTAAAATTGAAAGCACACTAGTAAACTTTACTTTCCTGTTGCATATCATGATGTTTTATGTCCCCAACATCTCTTTGTTAGCATTTTGAAGACATGTAAAAGCAAAATAAATATGAATCCTGTATAAAAAGACTTTATTTTCTCATTTTAAAAAAAGTACAGGCTTTTTTGGCGAAACTTGCTGAAGTTATTTGCTTCAGGTGTTATGAAGATAACAAAATGTGTTGTATAATGAAGAAAAAAGGGTAAAATCAGATTCAGAGGTTAAATCTAAACAAATACACAGTATACGGCATGCCATATTTACTTTTTTTTTTTTTTTTGAAACTAACAAATGATGAAATGTGTTTTGATGACATTTTTATTAGAAAAAAGGCCTGTGTTATTATTACTATTTTGTGACACATAAAAAAGGTTAAATGGTATTTAAACCATTCCTAGTTAGTAGACCAACAATTTTAATGCTAATATTCTGAAAAGAATATGCTTCTCAAATTATTAAACATTTTTTTGTTTTCTGGGCGACCTGTGGTTCAGTGGTTTGCCCTGTCGCCTTACAGCAAGAAGGTCGCTGGTTCGAGTCCTGACTGGGGACAGTTGGCATTTCTGTGTGGACTTTGCATGTTCTCACCGTATTCCCGTGGGTTTCCTCTGGGTCCTCCGGTTTCCCCCACAGTCTAAAGACATGTGCTATAGGTAAATAAGGTAAACTAAATTGTCTGTAGTGTATGTGTGTGGATGAGAGTGTATGGATGTTTCCCAGTACTGGATTACAGTTGGTATAGGCATTTGAGCATAAAAGGACAATAAACAGAAGTATTATGTTTAAAGAATAAACAATCTGTGTTTTTATGTGTATCAAACCATTTTGGGTAAAAAAATTTTTTTAAAGTAATATATTACCATCTTAATCTTAAAAGAAAACGAAACAACTTTCAAATTACTTTTGACTTAATAAGTTACTAAGTAAGACATAGGCTGTACTCGCATTAGGTACAGTTGCCTCGAACCGGCCCAAAGCACGCTTGTCCCCCCTCTCGTCTCCCCCGACGGCCCGCAGTCACACCACAATCGGGCCTGGGCACGCTTACGTCATCGATGCTGCGCTGTTCAGTAAGAAGCGCTGTCACTCAGCAGCACAGTGTAGATTTCTGTAGTTATATCGTTTCAGTCAGTTTGATTTGCAGTGACATGCAGTCAAATATTTTGCGCGGCAAAAAGTCCTTAGGGATGCGGTGACAGTCAGATATTTCACCGAACAGATCCGCCACTTTTGGCGCTCATAAAAAATCATAAATCCCTCGTGCTGCAGGAATGAGGAGGTCTGCTGAAGGTGCGCACCTGTCGTGCAGTGAGGGGTTTGCGTATTTAATAAGCTACGGCAGTTTGTGTTCACTGAACAGTAAGAATGGTTAATAAATCCATATGAAACAGTCCCTTAAAAGTCACGTCTCGCTTTCCGTTTCGGGCTTTGGTGCGAACAAAAGCCCAAGTGAACCGCGCTCAGGCCCACCTCTTCCAACCAGGCCAGGGCCGGCCAAGTGAACCGAGCTTGAGCCCGATTCAGCGCACTCACACTTCTCAAGCGATCTGGGAAACGGGCCTGGGTACGGTACGGATGGCATAGTGCGAGTGCGCTCATAGTTCCTTTTTTTTTTTAGTAAAGGGCCATGAAAGCCCCCGTCTCAGCAAGGTGTTTTCACACCTCTAGTTTCACACCTCCCCAGGAAGGGGGGTGAGTTTGTTAAGGTGGAAGTGTCGAGTGGCGAAAAAGGGAAGGGTTTGCATGAAAATGGGAGTTTCATTACACGTACACGCTGATTTTCACAGAGGCAACACAAATACATACGCAGGGGTGACAGTGACCATGTTTACATGGACATCAGATCAAATTATTTGCCTTAATCTGAATTAGACAATAATATGATTAAGGTGTTTACAGGAGTTGATTTTTGAATGTTCCTTTCATGATTCCGTTTATAACACATCATTTGATTAACATCATTGCGTCACCACGCTATCCACATTTCCTCCGGAGTTTCATGTAATTCTGGGGGTTTCATTCTTAATTTGTCAACTTTAACTGCAGTTTGGCACTTTCACTTTCATTCTGGAACATTTCATGAATGCCCCCCATGACAAATCAGACATTAGATGTGAGGGACTGCTGGAAGAATGTAGTTTTAATGGAATTTAATACTGCATGCCATGTGGAAGAAAAAAACCTTACGCATTTCTAGGTGGGTGCAGAGAATAGCGTCAAACAGCCGTGTGTACAGACTATCCTGCCACAAAATGCAGTGAAAATTCTACATGACAGTAATAGTTTAATTAAGGTGCTTACATGTTTACAATCGGAGAGCAGCAATTACAGCGGCTCTTTTAGTCCATAATAATGTAGTGATATTAACATACTGTAACGTAGTAACTAAATCATTTTGACTAAAGTATGTAAACAACCAATTTTCACTTAATAGTGAAATAGTCCTTATAGTGTTTGTAGCAATGTGGGACACATATATGACTTTCAACATCTTAAAAACTGTGTTTTAGTGTTTTGTGACCTTTTAAGATTTTATTATAATACTTTTTAAAGTAACTTTACCCAACACAACCCTGCTATCAAAAGATGGTTGTTTCTGTTCTTTGGATTTGACCTTTAGAATATGAAATCAATTTGTTGTTATTTTTGGAGTCTGCTAAATTTCAAATGTAAGTTAAAGCTAAATTTAAGATCTTGTGTTCATTAGTGTTAGAGATAAATGGAGAAGTACAAAAATGAAGCCAGAAAAAAAAGGCAAAAGCACACAAGATTAAATGACTGAAGAGCGTTTATTAAGAAACAGCATTGTTATTCTTTTTCATTAAAACAAGTTTGTTGGCATAACAATGTCACACTACCACAAAAACACCTGTTTGACACAAATGGAGATTGCAAACAAATGGAATGTGTATAGAATTAAGGCAACTTCACAATGATTGTTTATATTTCTAAAAGATCTCCACAAGTCAAACACACACATATATCACATCACCATAATTCAGCAGTCCACTCTGAGCGGTCATAGAATGCAATATTTTCAAGCATGTTTAAGTTTATGAGTGTAGTGTTAGGAAATGAGTATAATGCTTAGCTTCCACTGGTAAACTAAATGTAGCCTATTCACAGGTTTCACAGACTTTTTTTGTGCAATGTTTCAAAATATATATTCATTAACCTTGGTTTCCATACTGATGAAGCCTAGTAAGGATAAACAAGGGATTAAAAGATAAGTATTTGATTGCTCAATTCAACTCATATATGCAATGTGAATGGATTCTTAAGTAAATAATGTGCAAAATGTAAATAAAACAAAAAAAAGTGTGTAATGCATGGGTACAGATATTTTTTTTTATCTTTTTGCTTCAAATGAAACAGTCCATCCCTTATTCTTTGAAAGTACATCGAACACAAACTATTCTGATTCAGTGTCACTGAGTGTTTGATTTTCCTTTCAGATCTATTAGACTTTTGTGTCGCTTGTGGCATCATTTTGTAAGTTAATCTTTGGTGGAAAAGGAACTGTGAGGGTTTGGACTGACCTCAGAGCTCATCTTTCTGTGGTTTCTGATTTTCTGCTCTCTTACAGTTACACAAAGCAGTTTGATCTGTTGGCTGAGGCACTATTTCCATATCAGGATGAACAGCAGGCCGACTGCTCTGACGATCTGCATAGGTCTGTAAAAAGACAGCGGTTTACTAAAAGCACTGAACTGTTCATCGTTATACTAAAACAGAAAAAAATTTGACTCAACTTAAAAGAGTAAGGCAAGTTTATTTATATAGCACATTTCAAACACAGTGACAATTCAATGTGCTTTAATGTGCTTTACATAAACAGGAATAAAAGAGACAAAAATAAAATAAAATAAAATAAAAACAAATAATATAAAAACATATGAAAAGAGCTTAAAGACAGTTTTTCCATATTACAAAACACTGGTGTATCATATTTTCTCATTTTACTCTGGGACTTCCCCATTCTGATGATCGTTCAAACATTTATTTCAAAATACCAGTAAATTCTGACATCATTAACCAGAAATTAGCTCAAAACAGCTGCAATTGTATTTGTAAACGTAATAGAGATCTGGCTTAATGGTTTCACTTTTATTTAAAGCTTTGGCATTCATGCAGCTTATCTCAGAGACGTTTAAAGGCAAAAGCACTAACCGCAGCTAAATGTTTACACATTTAACAACATTACAAATTCTGTGGATAGTTAAGTATTGTGAACAACTTCGATGAAAACATGGAGGAACGCTTTTGCATGTCGAGATGTACAAAATATGTGTGTGTGCTGGCGCTCACTGGAGCACTCCTGCACTTCACGTGCACACGCGTCAAGCAGAGCTTGAAAGTAAACAAACAACAGCTTATCATAAGAATTTTATTGATCATTTTGTACAAAGTATAAGAAGGAACAGAAAAGTTATCTGACCAACATCTAGCAGCTAAGTGTGTCTGGAAAAGTATCCAAAGGCTTTTATTTTCATAAACAGTGCGGATGTGAATGCGTCTGAAGCCGTTTTCCACTATCGTGCTGAACAGTTCTTTATGCTGAACCGTTCCATTCCGTGTCAAACCAGGCCAGACAGCACAGATATGGTTTAATTTTCCACCGTCGTGCTGCAACAAAGCTCATTGGAACGTTACACAAAATGCATCAGTAGTCACCTGGCTAACAATATGTAAACGGCTCCCTTTATTCAATTAAATTTAAATAATAGGCAAAATTACTTTTTTCATGTTCATGTTTTCATGTGAAAAAGTGAAAGCAACCGCGAGACTAAACACCCGCGTGCCATTCTCTCGTATAGAGGTGCTAAATATAGCTACAAGTCACAGCACCCGTATTTATTTAGAGGTCATATGTTCCACAGCTCTGGGCAAATTTTATTTGGAGGGAAAATGACAATGATAATGCAAACAATGATAATGCAACAATGATAATGCAACAATAATAATGCATTTGCATTAGTGGCAGAAATATATTTTTGGACTGGCCTTGTCAAAAGTGGGCAGGCACTTTCAGTATTTAAAAATATAAAACTTAAATTATTTAATTTTTAACAATCAATTAAATCACACATGGCAATTTATATCAAAAGTTGATAATGATATAAAATATACTTCATTTTGATGGTAAAATATAACCTTTTAAGCAATGGCTGTATTGTTTTTAGTATTCAAACAATACATAACAAATGCATAAAGTGAAATAAAAACGAATATGAAACAACACATAGCATTTCGGGATATAAAGTGTATTAAAAAAAGTGTATATAAAAGTATATAATAGTATAAGTGATAATTTTATCACTTTGTTTTTGTTTATTTTTTGTCTTTATAAATAACTAATGAGCTATAAACAAATTCCTGCTTGACGTTTTAGAAAATATTTTGCAAAGCTACCCAGTATATATTAGATCACTGAGAAAAAAAAACACATAGAAACATGTTACACGGCCCCATAAATGTCCAACTTATATTTTATTGAATTGTATAAACCCTATTTCTGAAATGAAATTGCTCATTTTATTTTTATAAAACATTTGTCAAAACATATTGATTTTTTTGGAGTAAAAGCAATACCGACATTTAGGAATCCATATTTATTTTATTTATTCGTTCATTTGATTTATTAACTGGTGCATATATAGACTATAAAAAAGCTTTGAAACAAAAGCCAAAAAAATTCAAGTAAGATTTGACTTTCTATGGTGACGCCAACATTCACAACGCGCCTTAACCATTCTTCAGGTGGTAAAGCTAGAATTAAATTACAAAACAAGCCATCTGGGCTTTGAATTAAAAAGTTAAAAATTATTTACTCGCTATTCAAAGTGTCTGCAAGTGGTAGTGATAGTATATGTTACACAACATAAAGTAATGTTTACCATTGTAATAACACTAACTATCCAGTCAATTGACAAGTTTGTGGATTTGCTCATCACTTAACTTTTCAGAATTATTGATCATATATATTGTAGTTTAAGCTGAAATCTGTTCATTGTTGGCTGCTTTATACATTTTTCTAAACAGTAAAAAGCTCTTTGCAACTTATGAATGAACTGGGAAGCAAAACACATTTTGAAGACACCCTATATTAAATCAACAAATTATTCAGCATTTACTTAGCTTTAAATTTCAGACTCTTACCTGAAACACTTTGTAGTAGTAGCAGTAAAGTCTATGAGGTTGAAGCAGATCTCTCACCAATGACTGTCCTCTCCTGGCTATGGCTTCTGCCTCTGTGTCGTTGCTCTGTGTGCATTGAACAAAGCAGGGGGGCAAAAATATATATAGTGTTTTTTTGTTTTTTTTTGGCTTTGCATATAATACAATTGTTTGCTAATGTATCCAGTTACTGTACAAATTCAAAGGACATGGATTGTACCTTGGCCCATTTAATCTTCTCGATGAGGTCAGAAAGGTCCCTCTTCACAGGAATGTAGTGTACACCTGGTTTCAGATGTGTGTAAAAGTGCTCGTAGTATGGTGAGTCCTGTTTTAAGACCAAACTGTTGCCCAGCATCAAGTATGGAAATCTGTAGGCCGCCACAGTCCCATCCACATTCACTTGGTACTTGTACTAAAAAAAGGTTAAAGAGAAGAGCAGGGATGCAAAGAGGTTTGCGATTAAAAAGGGTGAGGACACTACATGCTTTTTTATTCACTTTTAAGTAAATCAGCATCTATCTGTAAAATAATTTCAACTGGTAATGGTTAAAATGTTGTATCATGTATGTTGTTATGTTTTTTATGTAGGGTAAAACAACAGTCCAAAGACAATCTGTGGTGTTATCATGGTTGTCATTCACAAAACACAGTATAATTGATCATTTGATTAATTGGCTGATTGATTGATTGATTGATGGATCGATCACTTTCTACATTTGTTTTTTCTCTAAGTTTAAAGTCTGTGTGAATCGGACATTGCTAAAAAAAAAACTTTGTTTCACTTTGATAATACATTTTACAACTGAAACTTTACAACTTTTTTTTTCATAATTATTTTTTCGGGGTTTTCGCCTTATTGGATAGAACAGTAGAGAGTATTGACAGGAAAGCATGGGGAGCAGACAGAGGGGAAGGATCATCATAGGACCTCAAGGCGGAGTCGAACTCGAGTCGCCGTGAGCACCGGAGTGCATATGGCGACGCACTAACCACTACATCCCTGGCGCTGACTGAAAAAGAATATTGAATTAAAAAAAGGCTTTTATTTTTTTTACACTCCTACTTTCATCTTTCACTTGCAGCAAACTGAAGGTTGGAGGGGTGTGGTTAAGCATATTTCACCCAAACCGTCAAACTGATGGCATCAAGGGACTGTTATTCCAGATGAGAAGTATAGCTGCATTTACACTGCAGATCTTGGGGATCAATTTCGGTTTGGTGACTGTATCTGACTTTTTGTATGACCCGCTTAAATAATTTTTTAAGCGACTCGTATCCGATGTCTGCATTTACACCACACATGCGAAGATGCAAAAAAAAAAAAAAAAAAAAAAAGAGCTTCTCTTCTCTATTCTTGTATTTAATCTGTTCACAGTGTATATATTTTTTTTTTATTGAGAAGTTGATTTGCTACAGTTCATGACAGAAAAGTTCTCATTGGCCGTCCTCTTTTAAATCTAGGCTTTTTTTGTAACAAGTAGGCAATTTAATGTCATGCTAATGGCATGATTTAGGCAACGAAAGTATGCAATAGTTTGAATTAGTTTAAATTGTTAACGTGGTAGATGTTGCGCTCGTGCTCTCTCTTTCTCTTTCTCTTTCTCTTTCTCTCTCTCTCTCTCTCTCTCTCGTTGTGTTGAAAATAATGCATTGTTTTTTAATGAAAATATTGTGTGAATTGGAAATATGTTTTTTTTAATCAATGAAACATGTTGTAGTTTAAAATTTTGTATTAAATAAAGATGTATCAAATTTCAATTTCAAATTTCTCTCTCTCTGTCTGTCTATAACATACTTAAAAGCATTAACATGTGCTACACTACAATATAAAAGCTTTTTTGTCTCTAAGGTTTGGGACTTAAATCTCATAACTTATGGGACTTAGATCTTAGTTCCAAAATAAAATTGTCAGAGTTTACATTAATTACTACCATTTTAATGGTGTGTGACTCGCATTGACAGATGAAAATCTGATCTACATGTACTTGCTTACACTGCAGACAAGAGGGCATGTATCCAATTCATATCAGATAAATTTCCACATTTGAACAAGGCCTGAATCTGATTTGAGTAAATTAGAACATATGTGATATTTTTGCCTGCTTACACGTGCGTGCGTCTTATCTGCGCCACATGGGAGAAGAAAATCAGAATTGGCTCAGTTGAGTCATGCAGTGTAAATGCAGACTAGCTTATTTTACAAGTGACCTTTTTCAGTGGATTAACTAACTAATATTGTGCACCAGCAAAAAAAAATTGTACATTTTGATGCAGGCTTTAAAGGGACAGTCCACCCAAAAAATGAAAAGTAACCCTCATTATCCATCGAAGAAGTAGGTGACTTTTTAATCTGGTTGATCAATGATGTATGCATAAGAGTACAATCATAAGGTAACGAGAGTGAAAATTCACATTTTTGCCAAAATGACACTTACATAGGATTGCTGGTATAAATTACACTAACAGGCATGACTCTATTCTGATAAGTGAATTTGTGTCTGAGTGCGCACTCACGTATGTCATCAAGTGCTCATGTTGAGATGGCTTTGCCCAGGATGTAGATTAAATCTAATAATACTGTAACTAATGTTAATTTTCTTCCACAGACCAATCGATTCCCTTCATCAGCCCTCAGTGTATCATCAGTCACCCATTTCTTTGATTCTCAGTGAATGAGTAAATTAACTATACATTAAAATTACTGTGTGAACTATCCTTTCAATATTGAATATATTTGTTGACACCAATAACAGTACGCCAACATAGTGCAGTTGTGCTTCAGGCATCCTGAGTTAGAGTCTCGGCTTATAGACCTTTCCCAATCCCATCCTTCACATTGTCTCCAAACTCGCTTTTGTTTAAAAGACTGAATATATTCAGCCAAATCCTCATATTATTATTTTAAAATATTGACCAATTAGGAGGCATCTAATTAGATGGCAAAGGTAAACTGCAAGCTCTCTCTCTCTCTCTCTCGCCAAACTCAAACTCAAAAGACCTTAAATTGCAAAAAAAAAAAAAAAAAAAAGTTTAAAGAAAACAATGCACTGATTGAAACAACCAGTTCTTTATAACTGCTAATAATATTGACCTTAAAATGATTTAAAAAAAAATTAAAACTGCTTTTATTCTAGCCAAAATAAAACTATAGGAAATACAGTGAAAAATTCCTTACTCCGTTAAACATCATTTGGGAAATAAATAAATAAATATATATATATATATATATATATATATATATATATATATATATATATATATATATATATATATATATATATTTTTTTTTTTTTTTTTTTTTTTCATTAGATCTAATCAAATCTGATCCCAAAATGGTGAATTTTTACCAAATGGTAAGGTGTTTTCTGAACAGAAAAAGATGCAACAGTTCTAAATCTGTATTATCCTATCTTATCTTACTGATAAGATCTTGTTTTTCATTTGTGTAAAGCTGCTTCGATACAACCAACTGTACATTGTAAATGCAACCTAAAGAAAAAAAAATGACTTGATTTACCTTAAAAAAGTCAAAGAAGCCAACCAGAGGTGCTTTTCCAAGATCCTTCTCCCGATCGCGAAAGAAAAAGTAAGCTGTTATTCCTGCATCGAGCAGCTCTGGATTTTCTTTAGACATGGTGACCAGACGCAAACGTTCTTCACGGCTGTCCCTGCCTCTAAAGAACGCTTTGTTCATTTTGTCTGACCATGTGGGACCTGGGAAAACAGTTATGCAGAGAGGTTAGACATGGAAAAAGTAAGCGAATATTGGACGCTGACAAAAAAAAAAAAAAAATGATGTTCAAAGAAGCACCTGTGTTCCCCTGCACCGACAGCAGGTCATTTGTTACCCCTCTCATTGCCTCTAAGGATGAATGTGTGATGTCGTATGTGGGAAGTATGATATCCCGCGTTTCAGTGGAGCCGCACCATGAAATAACAGGCACTGGTCCAGGATTGTCATTCACTTTTCGGTTCTCCATTGGCCAGTCTCCTACATTAATATAAAACTCCACGTCAGGCAATTTTACCTGGTGGAGACAGGAAAGGTACAACAGTAAAATAATTGACATGAAAGACCCTGTTAAGCACCATAATCTTTTAAGAAATGTCATTAAAAAAAATTTAAAAACATGCATAAATAAATACTAGGGCTGCACGATATATTGTTTCATATGCATTTAAAGTCAGAATTATTAACTCCCCTGAATTATTAGCCCCCTGTTAATTTTTTTCCCCCTAATTTCTGTTTAACGCAGAGAAGATTTTTTTTAACACGTCTAAACATAATAGTTTTAATAACTCAATTCTAATAAATGATTTATTATATCTTTGCGATGATGACTGTAAATAATATTTGACTGGATATTTATATTAGATATAGATTATTAGATATAGACAAGACACTTCTATACAGCGTAAAGTGACATTATAGGCTTAACTAGGTTAATTAGGTTAACTAGGCAGGTTAGGGAAATTAGGAAAGTTATTGTCTAATGATGGTTTGTTCTGTAGACTATCAGAAAAAAATGTAGCTTAAAGGGGCTAATAATTTTGTCCTTAAAATGTTGTTTAAAAAATTTAAAACTGCTTTTATTCCAGCCGAAATAAAATAATTACTAGACTTTCTCAAGAAGAAAATTAATAGTTCTATTACAAACAAATTAGTTATGACTATTATAAACTTTGCAGTGTTATTTTCCATTTGATTCGTTCATTTTCTGTAAATGAATGCTAGTCGACTATGCTGAAAAACATTAAGCCCTGCTTATTTCATTTTTATCTTTGCTCTATTGTATTATCTACATTTATACTTTGTTACATTTGATGTATGATTCACTCCCCTACGAAATTGCTTTCCAAATTGCACTATTAATCATCTGGTGAAATTGTGTGTGTGTGTGTGTGTGTGTGTGTGTATTGCATTATTAGCCCCTGTTAATTTTTTCCCCAATTTCTGTTTAACAGAGATAAGACTTTTTCAACACATTTCTAAACAATAGTTTTAATAACCCATTTCTAATAACGGATTTCTTTTATCTTTGTTATGATGAAGGTACATAATATTTCAGTAGATATTTTTCAAGACACTTCTATACAGCTAAAAGTGACATTTAAAGGCTTAACTAGGTTAATTAAATACTGCTTTTGTTCTAGTAAAACAAATAAAATAAATAAACAAAATAAGACTTTCTCTAGAAGAGAAAAAAATATTATCAGATGTACAGTGGAAATTTCCTTGCTCTGTTAAACATCATTTGGGCAGTATTTAAAAAAGAAAGAAAACAAAATCAAAGGGGGGTTAATTCTGACCTCAACTGTATGTCAGTTTTTTCCCAATATTGGGCAGCTCAAATAAATACTAATAATTTATTGTATATTTAGTTAATAATACTTAGAGTGTACCTTTTACTGCACCCAAGGCATTAATAAAAGGACAAATAAAGAAATATTTGAAGATTAAACAAAGAAATGTAAATGAAAATGGGAAAGTTTCATCATTGGCCACTGACTTCCATAGTATTTGCTTTTTCTACTATGGATCTTAACATTTACTGGTTTTCTGCTGTAGATGAAATGATGCTATGCAGCATTGTTACAAAGTTATGTAGATAGGAATTATTTTTAGGTGCTGTGTAATATCCTAGAGAAGCAAATGCCATTGATTATTATGGTAATTATAATCTGATTCAATAATTTATCCTAAACTAAACTAAAAATGCTGCCAACAAACCTAGAGATCAGCTGAGTTAGTTAAAACATGGTAAAACTCAAGAGTTTAAAGTTAAGCTTGGGGATTTTTAAAAAAAGAGCCAATTTCCAAAAAAAGTGGGATGTTCCTTTAAGAAGAATTTAAGTACAATTTTCAATGTAGTTTCAACATTTTGAAATAAGCTTTTAAAAATTTTACTGGCATGCATTTATTGTCAATTGAATACGGTCAAATAAATTCTATTGATGCTTGCATGCATGACGTTTTTAAATATATTTGTATTAACACATTTGCCATCATGAAAAAATATGGACAGGAATTATGCATTTGGTAATAAAATTACATTGTAAGTACATAAATTCCTTAATGCACCAAAATAAGTTTATTACAACAAATAAATACTTTATAAATAATAACTATATTAGAAATAAAATAATTAAAATAAATATTTTACAAGCTTTTTTTTCTGTTTTTGCTTTCCACCGTTTAAAAAATTAAATACATGTTAGGATACAAGTTCTTTTGCTTACTTTTCGAGCGAGGGACAGCAGTATCTCATCAGAGAACATCTTGAAATCAGTGTACCTCCCGAGTGACCGCCGATGCACCTGATTGTTTAAAATGGTGTAGTGAATGAGTCCTCCTCGCTTTGCAAAGCGTGTTGGAACCTCCTGCAGGAGCTGCTGCAGGTCAATAGATGGAAATGAACTGAAATCCTTTTGAATTTGTGGGTCTTCCTGTGGACACTGCATAACCCTCTGCCAGGCTGCCACATCAGACTCTGGACAGTCACAGTATTCATGATAAATGGGACCTGATCAAATTACAGAATAAAACAGTGTTGGCAGATTTTACATTTCATACTCAGTTTTTTATTGATATATTTTTTTTACATTTTTCATTGACAAAAAACGAATACAATTTTTTAAATGTACATAAAACTAATTTTGTAAAACAATTGAATATATTTGTGTCGTAGCCATTTTTTCAATGTACATTTTATTTAGTTAATTTTTTTTTTTTTTTTGGTGGGGGGGCGGGGGTGGTTAATATGAACATCATAAAAGTGTGGAAAATCAAACTGCGCAAAGCTGAAAGAAAGAAAGTGGGTTAGTATGACTTTGAGAAGTATGTTTTTTAGAAGTATGGTTAAAGGCTTTGATTTTGAATGCACTTAATGTATTGTTTGGTGATAGAATGTCGTTTTACAATGAATTTCATAAAATAAAAAAAAACTTTTACATAAACTAACTTCAAAAAAAATTGAAAATTGTTTGGTTAAACTCATGAGGAAAATAGTGTAGTGTACACTTCTGCATAATAAAAATTATGGAAATAATATACTTCAAAATATAAATATAACAAATACTAATAATAATGGTGTCAAGGTGGCGCAGTGGGTAGCACGATCTCCTCATAGCAAGAAGGTTGCTGGTTCGAGCCCTGGCTGGGCCAGTTGCCATTTCTCTGTGGAGTTTGCATGTTCTCCCGGTATTTACGTGGATTTCCTCCAGGAGCTCTGGTTTCCCCCACAGTCCAAAGACATCCGCTAAAGGTGAACTGAATAGGTAACTGAATAAAGCTGAATTGGCCATAGTGTATGTGTGTGAATGCAAGAGTAGATGGGTGTTTCCAAGTGTTATGTGGCTAGAAGATCATCCGCTGTGTCAAACATGAGCTGGATAAGTTGACGGTTCATTCCACTGTGGCGACCCTTTCTATTTGATAAAAGTTTGTTTTAAATTGAAAATAATTTGAAAAATGAAATTGTGAAACCCCAGAAAAAGTATATGATTATATTATAAAATACACTTCAAAAATATGCATGATATTCTAATATAGTGTTGTGTGCTTTTTTCAGTGTTTGAAATTTGAATGTGAACGTCATAGAAAATGAAATGTCAGTAGGTCGGAAGAACAGAAGTGGGTCAAACACAATTTTTTTTACTTTTAAAAGTATATTGTTTAGAAGTATGATTGCGGACTTTGTTTTTAAACATGTATAAAGTAATAATGTATATTTTGGTTGCAGAACATTGTTTCATAGTGAATTTCATTAAAGCTGTGGCGCAGTGGGTAGCACGTTCCCCCCACAGCAAGAAGATCGCTGGTTCATGCCCTGGCTGTGTCAGTTGCCATTTTTGTGTGGAGTTTGCATGTTCTCCCTGTGTTGGCGTGGGTTTCACATGTGGTATAAGCGAATTGGATAGGCTAAATTGTCCGTAGTGTATGTATGTGAATGAAAGTGTATGAATGTTTTTCCCAGTGATGGGTTGCAGATGGAAAAGGGGCATCCACAGCGTAAAAACATAGTCTGGATAAGTTGGCGGTTCATTCCGCTGTGGCGACCCCAGGTTAATGAGGGGAATAGGCCGAAAAGAAAATAAATGAATGTATGAATTTTAGATAATCTTAAAAGTTTGTTAAACTAGTAATAGTAGGTAAAACTACTTCTATTATGAAGCTGCGATCACACTGCACTTTTCGGTCCATAGACTTTCATTCATAGCCATGCGAATGCGGCAGACCAGAATCGCAAGCACGTGCGACAAGTTTTGCATTTCACTGCATTCAAAAGTTCAAGCTTAGTGAAATCTTACCTACAAAATCACATCAGGTGATTACGAAAGACCAATAGAAGATAATTTTAAATAAGAAATTTAAAATTACGGAGCAATTGCTCACTTTTATTAATGTCTAATCATATTGTATAACCCCGCCCCTTTTCACAGCACCATATGACAGAATTTTGCAAGCACAAGCTCTAGTGTGACCGCAGCTTAAGTCGCTTTGGACAAAAATGTCTGCTAAATGACTAAACGAAATATAATTTCTATGACTTTTCCAAAACCTTGTGGGTTTTTCTGTTTTCCCAAATTTTTTCCAGGCCTGGAAAATGCCATGTCAAAATTTCATGACTTTTCCAGGTTTTCCATGACCGTATGAACCCTGAGACAATCATTCATAATAAACTAAAATATAATTTATCCTCATTTCTCTTCAATTCGATGCCTGGCAATTATTGGAATATTTGTAATTACACTTTTATAAACATTTATGAATTACTTATGCTTTAGTATCAAATACCTACTTAAAAGACAACTCAATATTACCCAAATAACATACTGTAAAGACAAAGTTTAGATGTTATATTAGAAAGTATACAGACTTTACCGTTAAGAGTGTATGGTGACTTTGCCACTTGCTTGTCCTGGTACAAAACTTCAATCTTTAATCCCTTCAAAGTACTTCCATAGAGGCGGTATCTGACAAGAAGGGAGCCGTCGCCCCGATCCAAGGGTGCTGGGACATGTATTCGAAGATACTCCTTTTCCAGTGAGGAAATCTTCACTTTAAAAGAGTCTTTATCTAAAATACAGCAGAAATCATAGCATGCAAGACGAGAAAGTGACGAGCACTTGACTGATAAACTAAATATGAATTTTAGAAAATATTATGCACAATATTATTTGGATTTCTTATTGAAATATTACTAAATTACTTGCCACATGAAAATATAAGTGTCTTTCAATTATACTTGTGGTAAAGTGTATTAAACTGTATATATTATAGTTTGTTAATGAATGCTACAGCATATTGTAGTATTAACTATAGTGAACTGATAAACTGTAATAAATACTGTGGTATATTTAGTTTTTACCACAGCAAACTGTTTTGCATAACGTGTTTGCACATGTAGTGTTGCATAATATAGACGTAAAAAAAACATAGTAGCCTACAACAGTGGATTAATTACATCTTAGGCTTAGTTGTTGTATTACTACAGCTAATGACTCCAAGTACTTTACTATAGTATTTCACCATGTTCTTCATAAAAACTTCTACAAAAAATACTATACACTCAACTCAATTACTTTTGTTCAAACAACATAATTAAAATGAGTTGAAACACAATTCTTGGACAACTTATATGTTTTATGTTCAATCCACTTACATTTCTTAAAACGATTAAGCTAACTTAATAAATTTGTGTTGGGACAACATGAAGGAATTAAGTGGATTTTTTTACAGTACAGTACAGTTAGTAAATACAATTATGTTTAGTATTTACTATAACTTACTATATTATTTTTGTGCGTTTTTTTATGAAAAACGTGATGAAATACTGAAACCTTTATTAAAATGTCTAATGGAAAACAAAACCTACACGTAAACACGCATACATTTTATACAAAATGCTTTTATTCTTATGATAACAACTTAACACGGTCTATTACATTTCCAAATAATATTCATGTTTAAAATAATATCAATACTGTTGATTTTCATTCTTACCTGGAGAGAGGGTGATGTTTTCCCCTTGTGAATCAACAGTTTGTATGTAAAAGTACCGGACAGGAAGCACAACATCAGGATTCAATCCAGGACCCCAAACGAGACATTTACCCGGATTAATCTCAATAGTCTGACCAAACCCTACACTTAAAGCTATAGTAATGACTAGGGGGAAGGCAACATTTGGTACAGGTGCAAAAGTTTTTCTTTTGTTTATATGCAGAATCATTTTATCAGTTGGTTCAGTCGTTCGGAGTAGCAGGAGAGTAAAGGTAACTTAAAATTACAGAAAACGCTGCTAAGAATTTATTGGCATTGTTAATACACCTTTTTGCTTTTTCTCCTTTTGTAGACCCGAAGTTGTTGCATTAACACTGAAAATAACACGCTTAAAAATAATTAGGGTAGATTTTGAGCGTGGCGCTTGTGTTGCGGTGCGCCTAAAAAATAAATCCGCCGTGTTTCGGAACATTAATGAAGAGTTCCGGATTTTATGAAAAAAAATTTCAATCATAGTGTATCGTAACAAAGCCATACATATTCATTCTAATTAAATTCCTTTGTGCTTAATGGAAAATACATTTATTTTGTTTGATATTTGTTTTCTGAAATGACCTGAACACACTCTCTGTGTAAATACATAAGCAGACAAACGACAAAGGGAATTCGTTTTTTTTTATTCCAACACACAACAAACTTCTTAACCATTACAAGAAAGTCTTTTATTTACTTAGCAAATTAATATTCCTTTTAGTAAACTTCAACATTGTATCTACAAAATAAGAGTTAGCAATTGAGTTAGCAATATCACATTTTAGCAATGATTACTGACAAATTCCAGCGGGCACCTTAATGTCAAAACAACATCAAATTGACATTGACATGGAAAAAAAAGTCAAAAATGCAAATTATTTATGTCAAAACCTTGATGTCCATTTAATATCCACACCCTTTTGACCGCCAAAAAAACAACAACAACACAAACAGTATTATAACATAATTATTCATCTGAAAGATTCAATTACAAACGTACACATAATTTTGTGTTTCCAAATGCTTGTAAACCACCTTGATTAAATAAACTTTTAAAATTGTTGTCAAAAAACATCAAAAATCAATCAGAATGTATTATTTTTCATGAAATGTCAGTGAATTCATTTTTTTTCTTTTTCAATTCCGAAAGGTAATGGATTTTTTATAATCACACTGCAATGAAATATACTTATACTACTTTGAATTTGTCCATGACAGGGTTGACACAATTTGAGGTTTTTTAATGTTTTTCTGCTTGCAGATTATTTATAAAAAGTGCAGGAGCTGACCAACAATAATTTCTTACAGTCTAAATAATTTAACTGTGTGGTTAAGTAAAAAATCCCAAATTTATTTTATTTTTTTATTTAATGGCACTTTATAGTATTAATGACCCTTTTACATTAAGATAGTCAAATGACATTAAATCGATTTACATTTTTAATGTGTTTTTGATGACATTAATGACATTTTCAATGTCGTTTTTACATCAAGGAGCCTATTGGGTCACGAACAAATGCATTTTCCTCCACCACTCACGTTTTTAGCAGTGACAATGAAGTTACAAACTCTTTAGGGTGTCTAAAAGGCCATGGAAACCAAGAAAAAAAATGTATATCACTGCACACTTAATTATGACCCTTTCCAATCTGAATACAGCCGTCGGTTCTCTGCTACCCAGTCAACAAACTGACTGACACGAGCATATGCTCCAGGCCGCTGAGGTCGTCCACAACCGATACCAAAAGACGTTGCGCCCACAAGAACCCAATGCCCTTCCTCTTCACACATCAGCGGACCGCCAGAATCCCCCTGTCAAAAGTTCACTAATTAAGCCAATGCAATTTTTTAAATGAGAAATTATGAAAAATAAATAATTTATTCATGTACAACAGTTTAGTAAATAGTTAACATGCAAGACCTTCAATCAGTCCCTAATCCAATGACAACTATTTTGAGACGAAAGTCACAGGTGGCTCGTGGGTATTTAGTAAGGTTTACCCTATTTCATGTGTATGAACAGCATCTAAATAGTTATTTTAAATATTATATAAACAGTTATTTTCCACCTGGTGTTAGCAACATCTTAATATAATTCATTTGTATTTATGTTAATCAATGTTAATCGCCCTGCTGCTTCACCCATATTCTCCGTCCTCATGACTCCGTTCGAAGAACATTTAATAAATGGGAAATGCCTTAACAAAAGTGACTCCTTCTCTGTTAAAAAGCACATATTGCTTAGACAACTATTTTCCCATAGCAAATAGTCGCCACCATATATAATTATTATTATCTTTATATTTAAATTGTCAGAAAATGACATGATGTATAATCAATAAAAAGCACACAGATTTTTTTCATATTTATTTTTAACTAAACTGAATGCTGTAATTAGTCAAGAGTGGAAACGTCAGTTTAAAAAAAAAAAACATGCTGAATTGAGAATACTTTCAGCTTTATAACCAAGTTGACCTGGCGTTAGATTTATTTATAAGCGTTAAATAATTAAAATGTATTTTGAAAAACATACAAACCTGGCAAGTGTCGACTCCACCCTCAGCATACCCAGCACACATCATGCGCTCTGTAAAGTTGTATTCAGGCAGCCATTCCTGACACTGTGTGTTGCTCAACAGAGGCACAACAGCCTGCTGTAACACATCAGCTTTTAAACCTAGAGTTCAAGAACAGAGCTTATAAAATCCATATCCAAACGAATACAAACTAGGAAGACAAAAAAGTAAAATACAATGCACAAATCTGACCGCTTTCAGACAGTAATCCCCAACCAGCAATAAAACACTTTCTCCCTTCTTCAAAGTGTGCTCCGGGATCTGGTAGGCAGATAGGCTGAACATAATCTGAAAGAATAGAATCCACTCCTGTTATCTGCGTTTTCTTTTTAATAATTAAATTCATTATTACATACATATTTGGCATTTTTGGTGCAAACACTTTCCAAACTTGCCAGACAAAAAATCCCAAACGAAATTTAAAAACTGCATATAACTCTGCATTGTAGCTTTGTAAGTAGTGGTAAATGATCACTGTTTATGTAATTTTGTAATTCCTGTGACAGGAAAGCAGATTTTTAGCAACAATTTCAAGTTTTCAATGTCAAAGTTCCCCCCCAAAAAAAGTCTAATTTACTCACCCTCAAGCAGTTCCAAACCATTATGAGTTTCTATTTTCTGTCGAACACAAGGTAAGATATTCTGAAGAATGCTGAAAACCGGTAACTATTGACATCCAAAGTAGAAAATACCAATATTATGGAAGCCAGTGGTTTACAGCGTTCTTCAAAATATCTTTTTGTGTGTCTACACTAATATGTTTTAGTTTTAAAACGCATACATTTTGCAATAGTTATTCCTTCTGTCCACATAACCCCAGAGTTTTTAAGCCCCAAAAACGAAGCATTTTTAAACACTAAAGAGGCTATTTCTGTTTTAAAAGGATGCTGCTCTGTGTCAGTGTGGATGGGGGGAAACGAAGACATCTGAAAATGGAAGCATGGCTGCAGACATTCGCCAATCTGATTGGGGCTTTTTCTCAATATTAAGTACACAAAACGCAGTCTTGCGTCCTTGTAAGTTTGATATGAAAAACAAGCCCCCAAGGACACGTCGAGTAAATCTTCCAAGGGAACTGTGTACTATATAATGCCATTCGCATCACTCTGGCTACATTGTTTGATTATTTTAACAGTAAGATGAAAACATGATATAAGGAACTGCCTATTTTACTTTTGATATTAACAACTAAACAGACACCTAAAACATTGAGGCGTCATGTAGTTACATGACTGTCATCTTCACTCTATGCATATTTATAACAAAACTGAGCCTATAACATAACTACCTTCTTTTGTTTTCATTGAAAAATATTAAGCATTCCTTGTCTCTTTTGCTGAATATCAGTTTTAATAATTAATAATGGCATTTTAATAGTATAACATACAATAAGTATATACAATATACAGTGCATGTGGAAAGTATTCATAGCACTTCACTTTTTCCTCTTTTTTATGTTACAGCCCTTTTCCAAAATAAATTAAATTCATTTATTTTCTCAAAATTCTACACGCAATACCCCATAATGACAATGTGAAAAAGAGTGATTGAAATTGTTGCAAATTTGGTAAAAATAAAACACCTGAAAAATCACATGTACATAATTATTTACAGTCTTTGCTCAATACTTTGTTGATGCACCTTTGGCAGCAATTACAGCTTCAAGTCTTTTTGAATATGATGCCACAAGCTTGGCACACCTGTCTTTGGGAATTTTTACCCATTCCTCTTTGCAGTACCTCTCAAGCTCTATCAGGTTGAATGGGAAGTGACGGTGTACAGAAATTTTCAGATCTCTCCAGAGATGTTCAATAGGATTTAGGTCTGGGCACTGGCAGGGCCACTCAAGGACATTCACAGAGTTGTTGTAAAGCCACTCCATTAATATTTTGACAGTGTGCTTTGAGTCATTGTCCAGCTGGAAGATGAACCTTCGCCCCAGTCTGAGGTCAAGAGCACTCTGAAGCAGGTTTTCATTCAGGATGTCTCTGTACATTGCTGCGTTCATCTTTCCCTCTATCCTGACTAGTCTTCCAGTTCCTGCTGCTGATAAACATCCCCACAGCATGATGCTGCCACCACCATGCTTCAGTGTAGTGATGGTATTAGCCTGGTGATGAGCAGTGCCTGGTTTTCTCCAAACGCAACGCCTGGCATTCACTCCAAAGAGTTCAATTTTTGTCATCAGACCAGAGAATTTTGTTTCTTATGGTCTGAGAGTCCTTCAGATGCCTTATGGCAAATTCCAGGTGGGGAGTGGCTTCTGTCTGGCCACTCTATCATACAGGCCTGATTGCTGCACAGATGGTTGTCCTTCTGCAAGGTTCTCCTCTCTCCACAGAAGAACGCTGGAGCTCAGACAGAGTGACCATTGGGTTATTGATCACCTTCCTGACTAAGGCCCTTCTCCCCTGATCACTCAGCTTAGATGGCCGGCCAGCTCTAGGAAGAGTCCTGGTGGTTGCAAACATCTTGCACTTACAGATGATGGAGGCCACTGGGCTCATTGGAACTTTTAGAGCAGCAGAATTTTTTTCTGTAACCTTCCTCAGCCTTGTGCCTCGAGACAATCCTGTCTTGGAGGTCTACAGACAATTACTTTGTCTTCATGCTTGGTTTATGCTTTGACATGCACTGTTAACCCTGGGACCTCATATAGACAGGCGTATGCCTTTTCAAATCATGTCCAATCAACTGAATTTACCCAAGGTGCACTCCAATTAAGCTGCTGAAACATCTCAAGAATGATCAGTGGAAACAGAAAGTACCTGAGCTTAATTTAGAGCTTCACGGAAAAGGCTGTGAACACTGATGTACATGTGATTTTTCAGATTATTTTTTTTTTTATAAATTTGCAACATTTTCAAAAATCTGTTTTCACATTGTCATTATGGTGTATTGTAAGTACAATTTTGAGGAAATAAATGAATTTAATCCATTTTGGCTGTACACGGTAATCGGGATTAATCACGATTAATTTTTCAAAAAGGTGCGATTAAGTAGTTAATTTTTTTTAATCGATTGATATATATATATATATATATATATGAATAATGTTGATTTTCAATTAACATTATTTTGAAAAAATTACATTAATATTTTAAATAATAAGTGGTATCTAATTCGTAGAAATTTTAACAAAAAGTTCCCCATCCCTATTGTATACATGAAGGCTATGGCTGTGACAAGCACATGGGAACGGTGGGCAGTAGAACCAGCTCATTAGCATTAAAGAAACAGGAAACAAAAAACAGCTACACTGTTAAAGCAGCTCCCATTTCCCAGATTTATAAAGGAATAATAATTATAATCTGATAGGTATTTTGAGTTGAAACTTTACAGACACATTCTGGAGACACAAAGGCTTTATATTAAATCTTGAAAAAACTGGTGCTCTTTAAATCTCAGTAAAACTGTATGATAAAACATTTACTGTTGTAATAGTCAATATTGTATTGATATAAAGTATCAATATAAAAACAATATAGTATAGTCAATAAAACTGAAGAATCAAATGTTATTTCCGTACCTGTGTAGCTGACAGGTGTCTTTAAATGCATTAGAGCAAAGTCAGATTCCTTTGTCCTCTTGTTATAGTGCTTGTGCATGATAACTTGATCCACTGAAAAGACTTGCTTGTTGGGGTTAATCGTCTCAAACTGAGCGTGAAGGCCCAAAACAGCCGCCCAGTTCGACAGCTGAACATTCCTCCTAAAGGAATCAAAATAACATTTCTGTCTAAGTACATGTTCCGGTTTTTTTTAAAGCTACAAGCACATTGACAACATGGTTGAAGTCAAAATATTATCTCTCCTGTGAATTTTTTTCTTTATTAAATATTTCCCAAATGATGTTTAACTGTAATTTTTCACAGTTTTTCCTTTAATGATTTTTCTTCTGAAGAAAGTCTTAATTGTTTTATTTCAGCTAGAACAAAAGCAGTTTTTAATTTTTTTAATCAGTTTAAGTTTTAATAACTCATTTTTAATAACTGATTTATTTTACCTTTACCATATTGATAGTAAATTATATTTAACTAGATATTTTCATAATACTTCTATACAGCTTAAAATGACATTTAAATGCTAAACTAGGTTAATTAGGTTACCTAAGGCAGGTTAGGGTAATTAGCCAAGTTATTATATAATGATGGTTGTCATTGAAAATATATAGCTTAAAGAGGCTAATAATTTTAGCCTTAAAATGTTTTTTAAACAATTAAAAACTGCTTTTATTCTAACCGATATAAAACAAATAAGACTTTCTCCAGATGAAAAAATATTATCAGACATACTGTGAAAATTTCCTGTCTACCAGCAAGAAGGTTAATATTATTAAACTGGAAACAGAAAGCTGTTCCTACATCTATATATTGTCACGATTACCAGCGATCATATTCCATAAGATCGCTGGCTTGCATTAACAATAACTCATGGACTACTATTCCCCCATTTCTGGACTACATATTCATACATGCACTCCGGTCACACTCACACATGCTTCCTCATCTAGACTGACTACTTGCACCACCTGAGGATTGTCAGAGACTGATTGCACATACTATTTAAAGCCACACACTCACCCATTCAGTTGGCTGAGTCTTGTTATCTGTCACAGTGACATTACAACGAGTTTTCTTTGTCTGCCTTTCCGTGTTTTGATCCTTGCCTTGCTTATTTATTTAATTCTGTTTGCTGCCTTCCTCTGACCATCTGCCTGTTAATTTGACTTCGACTCTGGATTGCCCTCATACATCTGTTTGCCCCAGTATTGACCATTGCTTGCCTGACAATTCTAAAACCTGCACGTGGATCCACACCTCAGTTGTTTGTGTCACTCCCCGTGGTAACATATATCTATACATTTACATCTAATGAGGGATGTAATGAAACATTTGGAACTGAAGAAAATCAGATTCTCCCTTTCATGGATTATTTAAAAAACATAAATTACGCAAGACATAGTTAAATTGAAGAGGATTAGACTCATTTAGATTAAAATAAAAGATGACTATTATTTTATTTATTATTATTATTTTTATTTATTTATTTTTGTATTTATTTTATTATTTGTTTCCTTTTTGTTTTTATTTTAGTAATTTTATTAATTAATAAAAAATTTTATTCATTTGTTTATTTATAATTGTATTAATCTATTATTTGTAGGAACAATTTTGTAAGTTGTTGTGCTTGAATGTCTAAAAAACAATAAAAAAAATGGGTATTAAAACTATAATGTTTAGAAATGTATTGAAAAATATCTTCTTTCCGTTAAAGAAAAAATAAGGGGAAAATATACAGGGAAGCGAATAATTCAGAAGGGCTATTAATTCTAACTTCAACTGTACTTGCAGAATTGCAGATCAGCAATTACCCATAGACACAGTGTGCTGCTGTAATCAACCACTCTCTGTCAATCAGTGTGGCTCCGCATGCATGTCCACCAAGCCACTGCAGAGACACCATCCATGGCCAGGCTCCTCTCTGGGCATCCTGTCCTCCTACCACTCTGCCTTCTTTTTTTCCATCCGTTTCCTCAATTATCTTGCTTTTTGAAGGTACTTTACGGACACCACATGCTATAAAAAACACAATGTAAACAATTAAATATATTTTAAATACTTTTTGAGTGTATTACTTTAGATTAGATTCAACTTTATTGTCATTACACATGCACAAGTACAAGGCAACAAAATGCAGTCAAAAGTGCAGCATATAGGTATAAGTTATAAATGCAATTATAGATGGATGCACTTTGAACATAATATACAAGTTGTATTAACTGTAGTCAGATACTTACAAATAGATAAACATACTATACAGGTAGCTATTAATAACCAGGAATATGAAAATAGATATGAACATAATATACAGGTTGTTATTTGATATAAACAGGCATTACAAACAGATATAGGAACAGTTGAAGTCAGAATTATTAGCCCCCCTGAAATATCCACCCCTCTGTTTATTTTTTCCCCAATTTCTGTTTAACGGAGAGAAGGTTTTTTCAACACATTTCTAAACATAATAGTTTTAATAACTCATTTCTAATAACTGATTTATTTCATCTTTGACATGATGACAGTAAATAATATTTTACTAGATATTTTTAGACATTCTATACAGCTTAAAGTGACATTTAAAGGCTTAACTAGGTTAACTATCAAGAAAAAATAGCTAGGGGCTAATCATTTTGAGCTTAAAATGGATTTTAAAATATTGAAAACTGCTTTTATTCTAGCCGAAATAAAACAAATAAGACTTTCCCCAGAAGGACAAATATTATCGGACATACTGTGAAAATGTCCTTGCTCTGTTAAACATAATTTAGGAAATATAAAAAAACAAAAAGAAAAAAAGGGGGGCTAATAATTCTGACTTCAACTGTATGCATATTATACATTTACATATATATATGTGCATGGATGTGTACATTTACAAATGGGTATGTGTAGTGTAGTGTTATTATAAGAATAGGTTTTACACTTACGTTGATTGTTGCAGTGCAGTGAAACGATCTTCTCACTGATACATTTGTCACTTTAAAAAAACAAATGGAATTCAAATGATTTTATACGCTAATGATTATGTTTGTTTAATAGATAAATAGGGGTGTGACTTGGCTCATGCCATTAGACAATTATATAAGATTTAGGAGATCAACATGCACACTGTACTTTTTCAATAACTCATAAAATACACAGTGATGTGGAAGTGTCTGCTTCTTCACTGATTATTTATTTTTTTTTTTTTTTGCATGTTTGGCACATTTTATATTACTTTTTCTGAAACAAGTGTGACAAATATGCAAAAAAAAAATAAATCGCTATGGGTGCAAAAACTTATTCACACCATTCCATTAAGTGTAGGGGGTAAACATTTTTTTTTCATACAGGGCTATAGTTTTATTCCATGGTCTGTTAAAATTCTTGATTCTGATTAGCTGGAGGGTGTGCATTATTTTTGTTGAAATGCACAGGTAGTTCCTTTAAGTTTTCATCACAGATATTTTTTAAGACACTTTTATACAGCTTAAAGTGACATGTAAAGGCTTAACTAAGTTAATAAGGTGAACTAGGCAGGTTAGGGTAATTAGGCAAGTTATTCAATAACGATGGTTTGTTCTGTAGACTATCGGAAAAAAAATAGCTTAAAGGACTAATAATTGTGTCCCAAAAATAATTTTTAAAAAAATTATAACTGCTTTTATTCTTGCCGAAATAAAAAATAAAACACACACACACACATATATATATATATATATATATATATATATATATATATATATATATATATATATATATATATATATATATATACACACACACACACACACACACACACACACACACACACACACACATACATACAGCCTGGTAAAAGCCAGCGTAATTTTAAACTATGGCTGATCAAATCATTATAAATCTGGAAAGTGACTTTCTAAGTCAATCGCTCTTTTTTGTATGTTGTAGTGATGTATTTACATCATAGTAGATGTAACACCCAGCGCAAAGTGGCGCAAGGCGCGGCGCAATACTTGTTTGCTAGTTTCAGCTTGGCGCAAGTGTCGTTTTGAGGCGTTGCGCTACGCTGTTTAAATAGCAAATGCATTAGCGCTCATATGTGCGCCCATAGGCGTTCTGGTCTAAAAAGGAAGGTGTTCTGAGGCGGACCGCTGGTGCGTTGCTATTTAGAGAAACTAAAATAGATTTTTCATTAGACCAAAACAAACCCGTTCTAAACTCCGGCGCAGAGTTGCGCCTCGCTTACACACTGCTTAATAAGCACAAGAGAGCAATAGGCAAATATCTTTACATATGAATAAATTAAATATTAAGGATATATATAGGATATAATAAGAATAGATATAGGATATAAATATAAAGGATTAAAATATTACAAAACATTATTTTCTAGCCTACATACTGTAAATATGAAAAATCACTGCTTTTGTCTTCTTCATCTCGGGAGGCTTTTTCAGTTAATTCATAACAATTTGCTTTTGTATAATGTATTTATTCTTAGCAGTATTATTTATTATATCCATATTTACATTTGTTTTATTAAAAACAAGCTTAGATTTCCCCACCTGTCAGGTTTTAGACCATAAGGGGCACTTCATGTGTTGTTCATTTATTCGTTTACTGGAAATTAGAACTGAATTCAGAAATAGTTTTGAAACGAATATTTGCGCTTAACAAACGCAATTAATTATTTGTAGAATAATTGATGTCTGTGCGTAAAGGTTTCCTTATCCAAGAGCGAAAGTGAAAGTGATCCATTATCTCTCATTTTAACGCAGTAGATGCTCTGTTTAACAGTTTTCTGTAAAAAAAAAAAAAACTGTTAACTGTTGACTGTTTGCTAGTGAAATGCTCAGTTTTTCCACTTAGAATTACTTTACGTCCTGTAAATAGCGAATGCGCTTATAGCGCGAAGCAACTGGCTCTTAAAGGGAATGGGAGATGAGACTCTAATTGGTTTATTCTCAAAACACACCTATAACTCATTAAGTAAATAAACTCAACCCTTTTAGACCATGCGCCACGGCGCAAAGCGGATTATAGCTAAAATGCGTTCTGACATGCCCTAAAAGCGTTTGCGCCCTGCGTTTTGCGCTCTGCGCATGGACCGTCAAAATAGAGCCCTAAGTTTCTTTTTGGTTGGCCATCTGTTTCTAATGAGTCTCCTGTTTTTGTTACTGCAGACTAGTTCAGTTAACAGAAATAAAGAAGACATGCCTGCATGTGTTCAGCGCTTTTCCTTATCACAAACACAACAGTAATCTAGTAGATTGCATTACTTTGGCTTTTTATGGGTTAATTATTCTAATCTTCAGATTGCAACAGAGAAATACTGGGAAATTTCTGTAGACTGATGGCATTTCATGCCGTTTAGCCATATAATCTTAAAATCTCAGCAAAATCAGCTGGCATTTTTGTCTTCACTTTAGATATTACGCTAGAGAATCCTTCAAATACTAACTATAAAATGACATTGATGAAGTAGCAAATGTTTCTGGTGTTCTTAAGTTAGCTGCAGATGTGAATGAATTGCGGAAGAAAGTAATTCCTCTTACAAAAGTATCTTTAGACTCTCCGGGCCCTATCATACACCCGGCGCAATGCGGCGCAATGTGGCGCAAGACACGACGCAATTGATGTTTGCTAGTTTCAGCTCGGCACAAGAGTCATTTCGACATTTTGCCCCACAATGTTTAAATAGCAAATGCATTTGCGCTTATGTGCGCCCATAGGCATTCTAATCTAAAAAAGGAGGCGCGTTGAGACGCGTTGCTATTTTGAGGAACTTAAATAGACGGTTCAATAGATCAGATCAAAACAGGTCTAAAATCCAGCGCAGAGCGCGTTAGTTGTGCAACTCGCTTACACATTGCTTAATACACACAAGATGTACAGCAATACGCAAATATCTTTACAAATGAAAAAGAATTAAAGGATTAAAATATTACAAAAATTATTATTTTCTAGCCAACATAAATATAAAAACCATACTTTCATTCTTCATCTCATGGACTTTTTCAGTTTTTTCATAACAATTTGCTTTTGTGTAATGTTATCATTATTAGCATTATTATTTATTATATGCATATTTATATTTGTTTTATTAAAAACAAGCTTAGATTTATCCACCTGTCAGGTTTTCGACCATATGGGGCACAGCTTGTGTATTTGAATATAACTCAGTTTTTTAAACACACTTCATTATTATTGTTCATGTATTAGTTTGCTGGAAATTAGAACTGAATTTAGAAATAGTTTTGAAACAAATCTTTGCACTTAACAAACAAAATTAATTTTTTATAGGCTAATTGATGTCTGTGCATACAACATGTTTCCCTATTAACGAGGATGAAAGCGAAAGTACGGAATGAGGAGGCTCATCTCTCATTTTCGTAGATGCTGTTTAACTGTTTACTCTCTAGTGAAGTGTTCAGTTTTTCTACTTACAAAGTAAAAATTTTAAAATAAGTTAAATCTTTGTAGACTAGAAATACATGTCCTGTATATCGTTTATTTTAAAAATGCGGAGATACATTATACATTAATTTTATTTAAAAATATGATATTAATCTTATTTTTTAATTCAACTTTAGCGGTGGGGCCAGGTAGGGGGGCTACAAGACATTGTGCCCAGGGGGCTCTGAATTCTTAATCCGGGCCTGCCAGTGAGTCACGTAATAGTCTGCTTTGTGTGCGGATTGGACTTTTGTCCACTGGGGTTTTACTCTCATAGAATTTGAGTGAGAAAACAATGATGTCTGAGGCTCGCGGTATAAACATTTCCATATTCTGATCTCTTATTATTCAACTATGGTTAGATATACCTAGATTTTCTATATAGGGCACCTTCAATACAAAGTTTTATTTTGACACTTGCACATATTCATGTGCATCTACAAACATATTTCTGCTTAAGCATGCATTCTGGTATTCTCATTTACACACCACACAAGTCCAGAGGCATACCTCATTGCAACAAGAATGCTGCAGTTAAAGCCAATTTAAGAATCATGTATTATTTTTATGTTGTGTGCCACTTGATTTTTTTTCACCTATTCATTTTTCAATATTATTTTAAAAACTGAAGTGATTTTTTTTTTTATTAGGAATGATACAAAATGCGCAATCCTCACAGAGTTAAATTTATAGAGTTCATATTACTTTGGATGAATTTGTGAGTTAATAAAAATGTAACTGATTATGAACGTTAGAGGGGCGAAGCAGTGGCGCAGTAGGTAGGGCTGTCGCCTCACAGCAAGAAGGTCGTTGGGTTGCTGATTCGAGCCTCGGCTCAGTTGGCATTTCTGTGTGGAGTTTGCATGTTCTCCCTGCGTTCGCGTGGGTTTCCTCCGGGTGCTCTGGTTTCCCCCACAGTCGAAAGACATGCGGTACAGGTGAATTGAGTAGGCTAAATTGTCCGTAGTGTATGAGTGTGTGTGTGTGTGTGTGTGTGATTGTTTGTGTTTCCCAGAGATGGGTTGCGGCTGGAAGGGCATCTACTGCGTAAAAACTTGTTGGATAAGTTGGCAGTTCATTCCGCTGTGGCGACCCCAGATTAAAAACGTGACTAAGCCGACAAGAAAATGAATGAATGAATGAATGAACGTTAGACACAAAATATCTTAATATCAATAAATCGATTACAATTACGAGGTAAACTACAAAAACGCAACTTCATGTCACACCCCCATGGATTTTGTATTTCTATAATTACCTGGGTTTCAGTTCCAGTGAGCCATTAGTGTTCACATTTACAGTAGTAAATGGACCATCTCCTTCCACAGTGATGGAGAACAAGGCAACCCCTGACCTAGATACATCAACAAACATGACATTAGGCATTTCACACACTTTTACAATAGGTATTACTTTATCAAATTGGAACAATGTGCTTTCAAGTTTTCTCTGATTGATGGTTCATGCTTTTTAGGAAGTGATTTTTTTATTACAAATTTGAAAAATGTTTGTATTCAGGTCATAGCACTCTTATTTTTGCTGTAAATTAACTACTGTTTCTACTGCAGATTCATTTTCTGATTTTACTGGAATTAGGCAACTTAGATTTAATTGGTTATTAACACATGATTTCTAAAATACCAATTTTTCAATTAATTAAAATTATTGATTATTTTAATTAAATTTATTTTGATTATTTTAATTAAAATTATTTTAATTAAAAATTAATAAAAATATCTTTCGCTTGCTTAAAAAAGTTTGAATTGTCAATCAGATGTTTTAAGTAACATTTTATATTTCAGTCATCATTGTATTATATGGGTTGTTTTCACATGACATCATTGATGATGTGCAAAATTCAGAAGGAGAGCAGGAAGTGGTTCTTCTACCGCTATCAGAACATCAAAATGTTTCTGTTTTATGTTGTCTATAATTGTTTAAATCGGCCAAAAAAAAGAAATGCAGAACAGCTTTTATAGACTTCCAGAGGTTTTGCTCATAAAGTGGGGAAAGTTCAAGAAACTGGCTGAAAAATAGAAACACTTATTCATTACATTCATGTGTGCCAACTTTTTTGATTGTGATAATTCGTTTGACAGCAACAATAAAGATTATATACAGGTTAAGCTATGTTAAAATATTGTGTAAAACAATACAAACAGCCCCACACATCGCTGCAATGAAATATCCATCTTGTTTTGCAATAATCCATGTATTTACTGGCGTTTCGGCAGAATAAACAACCGTAACATGAACATCGAGATGCGCAGCAGCTGTGAATGTTTGTTAATAGTAATTTCATCGACAGAGCAAAAAAGAAAATGAAGCCCTTGCGACAAAACTAGACGGTTATTATTGTGGAGCACTTTTCCCCCCACTTACAAAAATAAATAAATAATGTCAACTATTCGTCCACACTTTTGCTTTCATCTCTTATTTCGTCTGCAAGGTACAGTATCTAACTAAAACTATAAAACTATAGTAATTTATAATAAATGTTTACAATGTGTACAACTCTAGTACAATAAACTGTAATAAATACTGCACTGCTAGTGTAAACTGTGGTGCATCAGGATTATAGGATAGAAAATTAAGCCTACTGAATCATTTTTATTACTACAGTTGTGTTGTACCACAAAAACAATATAATTACTATGACAGTTTAATTCAAGTAGTTATCTATAGTATGCTTCCAAACACTATAGTATTTTTCATGTAATATATTTTAGTTCAGTAGAAAACTCTGCCCTCTTCGTGATATAAGGATCATGCCCAACATTGCTTATTTTCAATTTATATCTACTTCGAAATCTGGTTTAAATCGCAAAAATATTGACTTACCCCTATATCTCCCATTTAGTTTTTTACTTCCTGCCCTCCATCTGATTTTCGCATGTCACCAGAATCACATGATTGTAAACAACCTATAACAGATTTACCCTGAAAATAAAACTAAGCGTTTCAGTATAATCTAAACACGTATAACAGTGAGAAATAGAATGATAATTGATCATTATTTTGTGCAAATACCCTTGTTATACAGATACAAAGGCTGTATTGATAAGCATAATCTGACATAAGAGTTGTATCTCACTTTTTGCTAAATAAAAGAAACTCAATAACAAGTTTCATATTATACTATATTATACAATAAAAGCCATAAATTTGTACATGAAATGTTATTGAACAAGAACATAGTTTGATCATTTTAAAATTTATTTCTCAATAGATTGTTCCGTTACAAAATATGTTTACTTTTATGACAGTTTTTGGATTTTATGACTATTATCTTATTTCATCCATTAAACATTAACTATTAAAATACATTTCGTCACCTTGGAATTATAAGGTTCTATCTGCGTTCAAAATGATTTTGAGATATTGAGCTGCACATTTTTTGCATTTCAAAGCAAATTGTATGTGTTTAACATTTGTGTTTTTTTTAATAAAAAGTCTTAAAATGTAAAAACATAAAAAACATCCCATAATGTAAATAAGTTGTCATTTAATAAAAATATGTAAATAACTCAATTTTGACAAAAATGCCAGATAGAACCTTATAATTCTAAGGTGACAATTTGTAATATATTCAATCAATTACCTGTAGCCCAAATAGCGGCAGAAGAAGTCTGAAAACTGAGGGGTCCAGTCTTGAGCACACACCGTGTATAAATTATTCTGGATTCGAAGTTTCAGTCGTTCAGTTCCAGTGGTGTTATCTTTTATTACATGCACTAAAATACAATACATCCTGTGATCAATAGCATGGTTTGACTTTGTGAGCTTTTGTTGTATTTTTATTTGTTGACTTACCACAATCAGCTTCATCAGTGCCATTAGGGCAGTCTTCTACCCCATCACACACACTGGCATTGGACACACATGCTCCTGCACCACACTGAAACTGTCCAGAAGGGCAAGGATCTGGATTTTGATGAGAAAGGTCATTTGTTTGTTTTCTGTCTTACATGCTGTATATGTATAGGAAACACGCCTGTAGCCAAGGGGGTTCGGGTGGTTCGAAAGACCCACCCCCCTACTGACAAAGCCCAGAATTTGGCTCCTATATGTCATCTTATTTGTCCCATTTTTGACAGTATTCTTTCATTTTCTTTTTGGCTTAGTCACATTATTAATCTGGGGTCGCCACAGTGGAATGAACCGCCAACTTAGCCAGCATATGTTTTACACAGCGGATGCCCTTCCAGCTGCAACCCATCACTGGAAAACACACACACTCATTCATACAATCATACACTACGGTTAATTTTAGCATACTCAATTCACCTATAGCGCATGTCTTTGGACTTGAGGGGGAAACCGGTGCACCTGGAGGAAACCCACGTGAACACAGGGAGAACTGACCCAGGCGAGGCTCGAACCAGGGACCTTCCTGCTGAGGCGAACGTGCTACCCACTGCACCACCACATCGCCCATTTTTGACAGTATATCATTTTAAATTCTGAAAATAACCCATAAACGAAGGTCTTAAGAAAAAATTAATTATTATTAAAATGGACAAATTCTGACTGAGGAAATTAGCTTAAGGAAATTAGCTTGAGGAAATTAGTTTGTTATTTGCCTATAGGCTACAGTTTTTAATTTAAAACAAGTTTGAACAGATTCATGATTGTTGTTTTTTAAGGAAGGAAGATTTTTAAAAAATTGTATTTCATATCAGTATTAAAACATTTTTTTTATTTCTTTTGTTTAAAAAAATAAATTTAAAATTGTAATCTTATTACATTATTTATAAAACTGTAATAGCGTAATGCACATTTGTAAATTAACAAATTTTTTTGTCATTTTTTGTTGCATCAAAAAGTGCGGGGCTTGACATTAACACCCGCCAACCCGCCAAATGCAAGTAGTTTTACTTGTGGCAGGTTAGAGAGACACCCACACTAGCCACTTTGGCTGGTTGAAAATAATTTTTAAATTGCCAGTGCTGCCTTGTCACTAAACATTAAAATTTTAGTTTAAGATCAATATGCGTGCAAATGTGATTTAAGAATCAAGAAGCAGCACGACTGATAAGTGTTCGCGTGAGCAAAAGAAAGCAGGTGAATGAGAGAATGAGAGAATGACCAGGTGAATGGAGATACTTGCTTACTGACTACAGTGTCGTGAGCAGAGCTGATTTGATGCTCCTGTGTCCCGTTTCCTTGTGCAAAGCAACCGTGACTGGAAATGCAACTGATGTGGTTGTTTCTCTTAGAAATAGATTTTGAAAAGCGGTGCTCGTGCAACAACAGTCTTTTGTTTCTAGATTTTTTGTAAGCAGCAGCAGTTGCCGTTTTCGCTTCAACCATTCTTTAAACAAATTATTAACATGTCTGACATTAACAGAATATTTTCACCAGCTTTCTTTTGCTTGCAGTTATTTTTGTCAGTGTGGTTTAATTATCATCCTTTGCAATAACATAGCTTTAATAGAAGATTAACTTTCTATTTATCTATAGTTAACTGGTGATCTGGGACCTAGTTTTAGATACGTGAGAATTTTTTTAATATATATATTTTTTAAGAAAATTTTTGTTGAATAAAAAGTTATATTTTGCTTGTTTACACATTATTTAATATTAGTGGCAAGGAAATAATTAATTTGGTGTGGCCAGAAAAAAAGGTAAATTCTTAGTCTTAAGCCCTAAAAAGTGAATACAAAGTGTGAAATGTAAAATAAAATTAGTTGCAATCTGACACTATGAAAGCCAATATGCTCATGCTCATTGAGCAAGGTCACAACACAAAAAAAAAAACTTAAATTAACGAGGAGACATGTGGACATAACACATCATCTATATCAAGTAATTTTATAATGCCAAAGTCAAATTTATGCATATATATATATATATATATATATATATATATATATATATATATATATATATATTTTCCCAACAACAAAATTGTGGCTAGTGAAAATAGCAAGTGGCTAGTAACACTTAAAATGTCACTAATGTGCAGTATTTGAACCCTATAATTTAATAGAAAATGAGGTGAATTACTGTGAAAAGGTCCACTTTTTGAGAAAAAAGAACCACCCTTTTAAATAGGCTGGGTACAAGCATGGGAAAACCTACCAGGTTGGCCAAGGTTAACGCCTGCGCTGAAGTTGGCTAGAAAGCCTCTGTTGTTTGTTTTTGCATCAGTGAATAACATGACAGTCATCTGAGAGGTTGTGGAAAAAAGATCCGGAAAGGAGCGCTCCCCAGTTAGGACACCTTATAAAGTAAAAAACACTTTGTCATTTATTGACTTTGCAATTTCATTTTAAATAAATGTTAACAAAAAGTTAACAAAAAAGTTTACTTTGGAATAATATTAATAGTCAATAAAATTGTATTATTTATATTATAAAAATAACATTTTTTAATAACACTTTTATAAAGTAAGGATGCAATAAACTGACTTTAAATTGTGACAGGGGGCTGTTTCATAAAACTGGTTAAGAAAAGCGGGGGTTAAAGTCAAAAACCCGACTTTAATGAGGCGAACTAAATGTCCACGTCTAAATTGGATCCATAAGAGCAAGTTGAAGATCATTTGATCTAACTAACCTGAGTACAGTTTAAATAATCTAGATAACTGATCGTGCACGTTACTGTCACGAAACCTTGAGGTCGAGCATCGATTACGTTGAGTGTAGCAACTGTGAGAACTGAAAGAGCTCTAAAATGAGACGCAGCTGTTCACAGCGAGTGACCCGCGTTTGTTTGTAGTTCAAACATATAAGAATTTACACATAATAATCCAAAACTACAGTATGGCTTGCAACAAAGCAAGTGAGAAGGCTGACTTGAACTGCAGATCGTCTCAATTAAAAAAACAGACCATTATCTAGGTCTATTAAGGTTAAATTAAATAATTGTTGCAATACATTAAAAGTGTGTTTGACTGTGTGTGTGCGTGCAAGAGAGAGCTAGAAAGAATACGCGCTTTCTGCCTATTGCTTGCAAGGAAAAGTTTTATTGCATGGCAGACTATCAGTAACACACAAAATGTGCTTAACGTCAGCACATTGAATTTAAAATAATGGCAACAAAAAGCCGTGCACGCACAAGCGGTGGGATTTTTAATTTGCTATCGAAACCGCTACAGAATGCTGCTTTCGCAAGTGTGTTTCCTGCGGCCCGTGGGAAAATATCTTCATATTAAAGTGAGGGTACTGCTCGGCCCTAATTCATCTCCCGATTATTCCACTGAGGGTTAGCAGATTTAAAGTCATTCTTTAAGAAATGTAGCCTACTTCGTTATATCAGTCAGTGCTTTCTTAATATATTTTCTTTATTAAATTTTGTAATTCATATACTAGCTATACACCCCTCACTGATCAATATTTTAAATTAATATTTTCTACAGAATGCTTTATAATGTTTGTGCATATACATTAAATTATTCACTACCAGTAAAATTTGCAATTAATCTAACAAAATATACTTTATATTTATCTATTTTTTTTAAATGTATATAGTTCTATTCCAAAAGATGTTTGATGTGTATATAGTTACTATTAAGTGACTATAAAGTTTTAATCATTAATAATAGGTTAAGTGAAATAAAATGGCATCAAATTACAGCAAGCGAATGTTAACAATACTTGGACTAAGCTTGAACTTGACTTATCCTGAGAGTTAATTGGCCCCAGACCAGGCTTATTTCCCAGCATAATTTGACATAGTAACGGAGTTTAAACTATCGTTAATTTCATTTATGAAACCGAATCTGCTATTAATAAACCTGACTTACCAAAATAAGCCTGGCTTTTTCTCTAAACTTGGATTATGGAACAATCCCCAGAAAATTAACATTTCAATAAATATTGCTAATTTTGTTTTTTCTACTCAATAAAAAAATAAATAAATACAAAGACAGTTGTGTGCAATATTAATAGTCCTCCTGTGAAATATTTAATCTTTTTCAAATATTTCTTAAGTGATATTTAATACAGCAAATACATTTTCACAGTTTTTCCCATAATATTTTTCTTCTGGCGAAAGTCTAATTTGTTTTATTTTGGCTAAAACAAAAGCAGTTTCTAATTTTTTTAAAATTATTTTAAGGTCAATAATAATATTATAATCACCATTGAGCAATATATATTTTTAAATTGCCTACAGAAAAAACATTGTTACACAATGACTTGCCTAAATACCTCAACTTGCCTAGTTTAGAAGATATAGATGAAGCAGACTGGAATTATGCTTGCTTGAAAGCTCAAACACAAACAATAAATACCAGGTTTAAACTACTTCAATATAAGTGATTAATTAAAATGTCATATGTCTGCTAATGTTCCAAATGTGTGCTGTAAACGTTTCTATGATAAAGGTACACTATATCACTGCCTCTGACAGTGTCCTAAAATACTAAAATTTTGAAAAGAGATGACAATGTATGTCAGACATGTTTAATGTTAAAATCCATTTAAATGGCAAGTTTTGTATTATTGGTCTGTTTTCTATAAACCTTACAATTGGAAAAATTGAGATTTTATTTTCTTCAAGCTAGAAGGGCTATTGCATTTTCTGGAAACACAAGGATGCTCCATCCATGGAATTGTGGAAAAAAGAGATTTTAAACTGTATTGGACTGGAAAGTCTAAGTTATATCATCAAAGGTAAGCAGAAGGACTTTGACTATCTTTCGGAAGCACATACGAATATTACTGAGGTTGTGTGTTTGTAAACAAGTAATTTTTTATTGTATTATTGTTTGTATTCTTTTTTCAATGTTTTAATTCATGAATTTTATTTATTATATTTTTTATTTACTTATTTTATTTTATGCCATTTGAATGTGTATATGTGTGTATGTATATGTGTGTGTATATATATATATATATATATATATATATATATATATATATATATATATATATATATATATATATATATATATATATATATATATATATGTACAAGAAGGGTTTTATGTGCTGTTTTGTAGGCTCCATTGTTATTGTATGCATAGTTGATGGGGGTGAAAAAAATCAAATGTATCTTTGGAAAAAAAACTTGCCTAGTTATCCTATTTACGCCTTCAAATGACACTTTAAGCTGAAAACTAGTGTCTTGAAAAATAACTAGTAAAATATGTGCTGTCATCATGACAAAGATAAAAGAATTCTGTTATTAGAAATGAGTTATTAAAACTGTTGTGTTTATACATGTGTTGAAAAGATTTTCTCTCCATTAAACAGCAACTGGGAGAAAATTAAATAAAAATTTAACTGGATGGCTAATAATTCTGACTTCAACTGTATATACATAAATAAAAATACAATATATTTTACATATATTACAAACAAATTACCTAGCAAATCAGAATAGGGCTCTACTCCATCTCGAATTTCCAAGACGTCATAACTAGCCTCTAAAGCAACATCTTGAAAATGTAATTGGATATTCTGCCCTTCCTTAGCATGTAAAGTCCACATACCTGGAAAAGACAAAGCACAATAAATCAAACCAACAAAATAAAGCAGAACGTTTTTGTTAGTATCCTATTTCTAATGATTCATGGACGAAAGTAAATGTATCTATTAAATACCCACATGAAGCATTATGTCCGTAACCATCTGGGTAGTTTGGAGAGCTGAACGTCGAGTTTGGTTCATACAGGTCAAAGGGTCCCCCACAATCCTCTGTTATAATAAATCATTCAAATTGGGAAATGTTATTGTAAAGGTGCAGTATGAAAGTTTGACACCCAGTGGTTGAACTAGGTATTGCATTCCTGGATCAAAACACACAGAAGCGCAGGTTGCTAATTTGACAACACCAACAGGAGTGTGCCTGACTATCGAGTCTAAACGCTGTTTTAAGGCTGATTTAAATAATGTTCTAAATAAAAGCAAGGACATGTGATGGAAGGAATATTATCATATTAAAAGGAGTTTTTGTCCTAACCAATACCTGGAATTTATATTTTAAAAACATTTTTTTTTATTTTTGGCAGCTGAACAACAGAAATCTTGATGACACGATCACCTCAGGGACCCCTTACGTGCTTTATTCAGTGTTTAATGCTAACAATGTGAGTTTGAATGCCATTACACAAGACATTTATTGCCATACTACTGAAAACAGCAGCAGATCGTGTTCACCTCAGATCTTGAAAATAAAATAAACCTTTTAAAATTGAACTTGAGAGCTGTGAAATAATGCAAACACACATATCAGTGATTCAGCGTTCATTTAATAATGTTAAAGAGGTTTAATATGTATTAATTAGACCATAAGCCTTACCATTTCTTGGAGTGCAGCAAGTTAGATCTAATTTTGTCTCATGGAATTGAGGTCATTGATGTAGACATTATACCACAAAGTGATGATATAACAGACCCCTACCTCTTACTATACAAGCTGTGTTTACCTAAAATGAGCAGCTCCACACAGATTTATTGCCCTAGTTGGACTATCGTCCCCTCCACTAAAGATGAATTGACAAATAACGTACCTGATCTTTCTCTATTTCGAAATGCACCCGCAAACGCAAATGACCTTGATGTAGAAACCAGCAGTATGGATGCTATCTTTACTAACTACTTACTACTGTGGCACCCATCAAATTAAAAAAGGCTAGAAAGAAAAAAACTAAACAAAAATTTTCACACTGCTTTATTTGCACATCTTTTATGCGATAATCCAGTTTTGTGCATAAAGTTAATTTGCATTTTTGGATAAAAACATAGCTAACGGGTGCCAGTTACCAGCATCAAAATATCTTCTTTTGTGTTCAACAGAAGAATGTCAAATAGGTTGGGGGAATGTTTTTTAAATATCAAATGCAAACATATCATGGTATGTTTATGCTTTAGAAGACTCAAAAGCTTACATACAGCACCTTTAAAGTTTTGTGCTATAAAAATGCCATTGCATTACATTGGTGATGGGAAATTCAGATAAATTTTTACCAACTTTCACATTTGAGGCTTGACGTTTAACCAAAATCATTATGTTCATTTCAGCAGAATATTATTAAAATGTGGCATGTTAATTCCCTAACGCATAATTCACAAACGCATGCAAATGCTGGAAACCTGAAAAAATACAAAACTGTAATTAAATAAAAGGGATATTTCACTCCAAAAAACAAATCTGCCATCATTTACTCACCCCCAACCTATTTGAGATTTTTCTGTTAAATACAAAAGATATTTTGAATTTGAGGAATGCTGGTAGCTGGCACCCATTAGCTATGTTTTCATCCAAAAATGCGAATTAACTTTATGCGCAAAACTGGACTAATCGCATAAAAGACGTGCAAATAAAGCAATGTTTCCATCCAACGAGTCAAAGTGAACGAAATCGTCACTTCCTGATTATCTGGCGCCAAAAATGAACAGTATAAACAGAATTTATAAACAGACGCTTTTGATTCTGGAGGTCATTTTAACACTAATACTAATACTGAACATAATAACACTAATACTGAAATGGTTAAGGCGTTCTAGAATGACCATAACAACATTTCAGATGTTTTACAATGTGCTCAGCCTGCCTGTTTGTCCATTCTCACACATTTTTATCATCACATGACCTCTTATAACAAAATAGTTTATGTAAACCTGTCTCACGCATTCGGTGCCAGGTAAGAGGTTTAAAATAAAGGAATTTCTGTTTGTTGTATTGGCCATGTCAGCTCCCGAATTCAAACCCCATTATTATTTTGATTTCATATTTTCTTTGTCTCGTCTTTCATGTTGTGTAGTGATGTGCGATACCCCTAGTTTCTGATCCGATGCCAAGTAATATAAAGGAGAGTATTGGCGATACCAATCCGATACTTGTTTGGGAAATTAAAGTAACAAGTAGTGTACTTAAAAGTGTCACTTTATTCTGAATATGAGACATATTACAGGTCATTCTTGTTTATTGGTAAAGAATTATCATACAAAAAAAGAGCCAACTTACATATTTATTGACAGCATCTGAGCATGTTTATCTTAAAACACCTGGTTGAGAACATCTTAACAAAAACAATAAACATTCACACCTTTTGGTTTAGTGACATGTTAATCCAGTTAAGATTTTTAACCTTTTTCCGTTGTTTTATCATTGTCACAAAAACCCAAGCCCCCAAAATACAATCACATTTTCTCCCTCTGTACCTGGATAATGCCTGCCTGCTGCACCTAAGGACTCTGAAAGCGATGTCTGTCTCACCCTAGCAGCACCTGTGCCTCTCCTTTCCACCTCTTCTGACCGCCTAGTCATGACTTTGTCATATTCTATCTTGTGACTTATATGTAGATGTTTGATTAGGTTTGTGGTATAACAACAGTACGTCGCTGTTTTGAAACATTTGTCACAAACGCATCATTTGAGTTTATGGAAGTTAAGTAGCTCCACACATACTTCACTTGCGGTCACCCACATCCAATGACAGCGTGACTGAAAAACATTTGCCCCGCCAGCAGACTGACTGAGTGGCTAGCTAGAGTGCTCTGCAGATGTACAGTGCCATATTACGCACATTACTTGGCAGGCGGAAGAACAAGTAGTTCCAATTAAGTTGGCATTTTTTAGATAAATTAGGGTAATTGTGGTTACTTTCTGTTGTGTTTCTGTTTCCAATAAACTACACATTTGCTCAAGATTACTAAAATATTAATATTTTGATAAGATAATCGATTCTAAAACATTCAAAGCTGGTATCGGAGATATCGATATTTTAGTATCTATCCGCACATCACTAATGTTGATTATCATCCCTAGACGGTGCGTAACATTGCCATATCAGCTTCTCTGGCTACGTCATGGCAAAAAAAGTTCAAGTTTACTACATTTTATAAATATCACTTTTCTATAATTACAAAAATTAAAAGTTTGAATAATTAAAGTTTGAAGTGTTACCCAACTCCTCATTACCATTCAATGTTTGACAAGATTATAATAAGAATGTAAATGCTTGTAACATGGCTTTAACATTATTTCTAAATGTGTCTCATTTTTTATTTTTTGGTGCCTGTCTTGATCAGTTGCCTGTTTTACTGATTACACTCTCGAATTTTCTCTGCTGTTACACAATGCTCCTATATGACCCTGTCTGTTCACTAAAAGACATTGCAAATAAAAGCTGGATTTGGACCTGTATTGTATTATATTATTATATGTACTCTATTGCATGATAAGCTGAAGTATTGATTGTTGCAGCAGCTCAACTTGCCTGGTGGATTGACTGGAGGGGGGACCGGAGTCGGGTCAGGAGGAATCTGTTCGCAGGAACCAGGCACTATGCTGATATCATCCAGGGCAATATCATTAAGAATTCCTGATGACTTCTGAGCTTCAAAGACCACCTAAAAATAGAAAACAGCAATATATATGGATGAATGAATGAATAAATCAATCAATTAATTAATTAACAAAATAATGATTTATTTATTCATTCATTCAGTTATTCATGTATTTATGTTTTAATGCCATATCAGCAGCAATGGCTATATACAGTGCATCCGGAAAGTATTGATAGAACTTCACTTTTTCCACAATTTTTTTATATTACAGCCTTATTCCAAAATTGATTTATTTCCTCAAACTTCTACACACAATACCCCATAATGACAATGTGAAAAAAGAGTTAAGTTGTTGCTAATTTATTAAAAAAAATATTACTTGAATATTAGAAACATTAGCCCCCGTTTGATTTTTTTTATTTATTTTTTATTTTTTAAATATTTCCCAAATGATGTTTAACAGAACAAGGAAATTTTCACAGTATGTCTGATAATATTTTCTTCTGGAGAAAGTCTTATTTGTTATATTTCGGTTAAAATAAAAGCAGTTGTTAATTTTTATAAATACATTTTAAGGTCAAAATTATTAGCCCCCTAAGCTGATTTTTTTCGATAGTCTACAGAACAAACCATCGTTATACAATAACTTGCCTGATTAAACTAACATGCCTAGTTAGCCTAATTAACTTAGTTAAGCCTTTAAATGTTACTTTAAGCTGTATAGTAGTGTCTTGAAAAAATATCTAGTCAAATATTATTTACTGTCATCATGACAAAGATAAAATAAATAATTAGAAAATTATTAGAAATAAGTTATTAAAACTTACGTTTGAAAATGTGTAAAAAAAATAAAATAAATTCACTCCGTTAACACAGATATTGGGGCAAAACTAAATAGGGCAGCTAATAATTTAGACTTAAACTGTACATGAGTATTCACAACCTTTGCATGAAGCTCTAAATTGAGCTCAAGTACATTCTGTTTCCACTGATCATTTTTGAGATGTTTTAGCAGCTTAATTGGAGTTCAGTTGATTGGACATGATTTAAAAAGGCATACAGCTGTCTATTTAAGGTCCCAGGGTTGACAGTGCATGTCAAAGCACAAACCAAGCATGAAGACAAAGAAACTGTCTGTGGACCTCCGAGACAGGATCGAGGCACAAGGTTGAAGAAGGTTACAGAAAAGTTTCCGCTGCTCCGATGTTCCAATGAGCACAGTGGCACAGTGGCCTACATCTTCCGTAAGTGGAAGATGTTTGAAACCACCAGGACTCTTCCTAGAGCTGGCCGGCCATCTAAGCTGAGTGATCAGGGGAGAAGGGCCTTACTCAAGGAGGTGATCAATAACCCGATGGTCACTCTGTCTGAGCTCCAGCGTTCTTCTGTGGAGAGAGGAGAACCTTACAGAAGGACAACCATCTGTGCAGCAATTCAACAATCAGGTGGAGTGGCCAGACGGAAGACACTCCCTGCCTAGAATTTGCCAAAAGGCATCTAAAGGACTCTCAGACCACAAGAAACAAAATTCTCTGGTCTGATGAGACTAAAATTTAACTCTTTAGAGTAAATGCCAGGCGTTACATTTGGAGAAAACCAGGCACTGCTCATCACCAGGCTAATACCATCACTACAGTGAAGCATGGTGGTGGCAGCATCATGCTGTGGGGATGTTTTTCAGCAGCAGGAACTGAAGACTAGTCAGGATAGAGCCAGAGCCCAGACCAAAAACCTATTGAACGTCTCTAAAAAGATCTGAAAATAGCTGTCCATTATCACTTCCCATCCAACCTGATAGAGCTTGAGAGGTACTGCAAAGAGGAATGGGCAAAACTTCCCAAAGACAGGTGTGCCAAGCTTGTGGCATTATATTCAAAAAGACTTGAGGCTGTAATTGCTGCCAAAGCGGCATCAACAAAGTATTGAGCAAAGGCTGTGAATACTTATGTAGATGGTATTTTACAGGTTTTATATTCATTTTATTAATTTTTAAATTGCAACAATTTCAAAAAATCTTTTTCACATTGTCATTATGGGGTATTGTGTGTAGAAGTTTGAGGAAAATAAATGAATTTAATCCATTTTGGAATAAGGCTTTAACAAAAAAAAAAGAGAAGCGCTATAAATACTATCCGGATGCACTGTATTTATTAATGAATTAATTTATTGTTATTAACTTTCAGGGAATTTGAACATGAACTGACCACAGTATCTGCAGAGATGTTTAGTGTGGCTTGGCCGTAGTTCCAGTTGTCCCCATAGTTCCCTTCTTTCTGGAAGAGGACAGTGATGGTTGACCTTCCCTCACTCGTGACCGTCAGACGTCTAACATGCTCCCCAAACATATGATACCTCAAAGAAAACATGAATATTTGGCAACCCTTTAATTTAAGGTGACACAGTTACACGTTCCATGCACTTACTATAGTGATTACAATGACTTATGCATAAAAAAGTAACCTAACCCACATTCTAAATCATGTAATAAGAACATGCACTTGATTAATATTGCTCAACAGTTAAATGAATAATTACTGTGTCACCTTAAATTAAAGTGTAAACAAATACCCATAAATTTTTGGTGTATGCTAAATGTAATTTTTTGGACACTTAATTACATAGTAATTAAATTAATATGTATTACTGTATATACCGGCCACTTTATTAGGTACACCTTACTAGCACCAGGTTGGAGCTCCCTTTGCCTTCGGAATTGCCTTAATTCTTTGTGGTATAGATTTAACAAGGTACTGGAAACATTCCCCAGAGATTTTGGACCGAATTGACATGATAGCATCACGCAGTTGCGGCAGATTTGTCGGTTGCACATCCATGATGCGAATCTCCCATTCCACCACATCCCAAAGGTGATCTATTAGATTGAGCTCTGGTGAATGTGGAGGCCATTTGAATACAGAGAACTTCTTATCATGTTCAAGAAACCAGTCTGGGATGAGTCATGCTTTATGACATGGCATGTTATCCTGCTGGAAGTAGCCATCAGAAGACCACACTGTGGTCATAAAGGGATGGACAAGATCAGCAACAGTACTCAGGTAGGCAGTGGTGTTGACACAATGCTCAATTGGTACTAATGGGTCCAAAGTGTACCAAGAAGACATCCCCCACACCATTACACCACCACCAGCCTAAACCGTTGATACAAGGCAGGTTGGATCCATGCTTTCATGTTGTGAATTCCAAATTCTGACCCTAAGATCCAAATGTCAAAACAAAAATCTCATCAGACCAGGCTACGTTTTTTCCAATCCGCTATTGTCTAATTTTGGTTAGCCTGAGCAAATTGTAGCCTCAGTTTCCTGTTTTAAGTTGACAGGAGTGGCACCCAGTGAGGTTTTCTGCTGCTGTAGCCCATTTGCCTCAAGGATGGATGTGTTGTGTGTTCAGAGATGCTCTTCTGTATACCTTGGTTGTAACGAGTGGTTATTTGAGTTACTGTGGCTTTTCTATCAGCTCGAACCAGTCTGGTAATTCTCCTCTGACCTCTGGAATTGACAAGGCATTTTATTTTTTTCGGACCATTCTCTGTAAACCCTAGAGATGGTTGTGCGTGAAAATCCCAGTAGATTAGCAGTTTCTGAAATACTTAGACCAGCCCGCCTGACACCAACAACCATGACACATTCAAAGTCACTTAAATCACTTTTCTTCCCCATTCTGATGCTCAGTTTGAACTGCAGCTGATTGTCTTGACCATGTCAGCATGCCCAAATATATTGAGTTGCTGCCATGTGAAATTTGCGTTAACGAGCAGTCGGACAGGTGTACCTAATAAAGTGGCCAGTGAGTGGATTTACATTTTAAAAAGTAAAATATACTCTAATTCATATTGAAACATGTAGTTTATGTGTTTAAATGTATTTGTTACTCATTTGTAATGATTAAGTAGCAGTTTAGGACATATTTTAAAAGGTATATTTTTTGTTCATATTTCATATCAAATTTGCTATTATAAAAGTGCACTTTTTAAAAGTAAAAATGGGTTAAGAAACATTAATGAAAGTATACTCTAAACACACTTTAATTCACTTTTAATTCATTAATATCATCTCAAAGTGCAATTTTTGGTTTTAGTAAAGTACTTTAAAACAATTAAGTGAAGTTGTTCATGAAAACATAAGTGACTAATTTTACCATTGTATAATCTGAATTTGAATTTGCCTTATCAGAAAAATGTGAACAAATAAGATGAATATTTCCAAACATTACGCCTTATTAAAACTAACCAGAACTGCAGACACATCAATTCCTTTGTAGGAGTCAGAGGAAGACTGTAGAGACGGAATTTTCTTTCCCAATTTCCAGAAGTCCGAGGGGTCACAATGTAATACCCTATATTAATCATAGTACTTTTAGTATGCAGTAAAGGTAAAAAATAAAATAAAATTTAAAAAAATAAAAGATCCATCAAAAATCTAAGAATAAAGCATTAGAGTATATTTTCAAAGTATTTGCTAACTGTATAGATACCGTATATAATGGTACCTGATTGGTTGCCTGTTGTGTGATCAAAGCTTGGGCCAGTGTCTGATGGAGGAGTCTCGCCTTGTGCCCGTACCCACTCGCCATCGTCATTAAGTTCTTTCCTCCAGAGACAGAAGTCCTCTTCAAAGGAACAGTTTATCTTCTCTTCATCTAGCAAAGACCATTCAGAAAGAATGTTTTCCATCATCATTTTTGAATTGATTATTGGTTAAATGCCTGCAATATTGCTCTGTGGTTCACACTTTTTATTCTATAACATTTTTAAGGCTTTTACTTTAACTCAGTGTCCTAACAAGAAACAAAATTCTAACGACATGCAGAATAGTGCATTGCACTCCAAAACAAACAGACAGATTTACAGTCTTATTAATAAATACTAAGCCTCATTAACAATACTAAAAGTCAACGCTGAGTCACTGATGTTGTTGCTTTGCAGTCGTAGTTCTAACGTCTACCTCTTCATATTTAAATAGTATGTTTGCTAGTTATATCATTTTTAGGATCTGAGGTAAACATGGTTAAAAAAAAGTGTGCTGCCACTTAAAAGGTGCTGGCTTCTTCATGAACTGAAAATAAGACAAGAATGGATGGATGTAGTGAATTATATTTATGTTATGGAAAAGATCACCTTTTTTCTTGGTCTTCAGAAAATTGTATTATAAAAGTTTGATCCAAGTGGATTGAATATGTATGACCTGGGATGTATTCGAGAAAGCTGAGCCATCAAGATCAAACATTAAACATTACTTATTACTTTACGTTTGACCTCAATAAAACAGTTTGAAATGGTCGTTGTTATTAATAATTCTATTTTTTAATTATTATTTTTTATGTCTGCACTGTATTTAAAAAAGAAAAAGAAATGGCGGAGGAAATTGTAATAACATCATTTTTGAAATATTGTACGGTTTTTCTGAGGTGAACTTTCAACTGGCTCTTTTTAGTATGGCAATTATGTCACAGAAAATGGTATTTGAACTCATATTGGTAACATTTAACACTAAATAAAGTACATAATCAGCATCTGAGGTGATCATTGTCATAGTAGTTTATGCTGTTCAACCACTACACCACAGAAATAAAAATTAAAACGAGTTAAAAAAAATACTTTGTGCATCACCATCACGCATGGTCAGGATAAAAACTCCTTTTAACATGGAAAAAAACGCTTTATAGCATTTCGCAGCATAACTTCATATGTAGTTTTTCCAAACTTAACACGTCAATCTTTTTTTCTGTTATGTAGGCTCTTTTTTTAATTAATACCCACTAGAAAAATCACTGATGTTGACTGCCATGTAAGTAGCGTTGAAGCCTTGGCGGTTCCCGGTTTGAGAGTTAAATTCAGCAGTTGCTTCATGAGATAAAAGCCAGAGGTCTCCGGGAGATGTGCCTGAGAGAAAGTCTGTAGAAAAAAATCTTATGTCAAGAAACTGCAGTCAAAAAATGTAAATACTGTGATACTGTTTACCGTCAAAACTCACATGCTAATGTTTTTGTGGAGCCGATGCCTTCATATAGCGTCAGAAAATCAAGATCTTGTTCCGTATCGAAAGTATGAAAGATCAGTTTTATAGCCAATCCCTCAGTGACCCTGTGGGTAAATGGAAAGAAAGAAAGAAAGAAAGAAAGAAAGAAAGAAAGAAAGAAAGAAAGAAAGAAAGAAAGAAAGAAAGAAAAAGAAAGTTAGGCAAACATCAAAATATGTATATGTCAAACCATAAGTATATCATGTCTGATTATGATATTACCGAATAATCCAACGGCAGGCTGCGAGTCCATCATCTGAAAAGTTTTTTGAGTGGAAGGATCCGGATGAACCAAGCAAGAGAAACTGTCCATCACACACTGTTGCTATAGGTCATAAAGGAAACATCATATATAAATATCCTTCAAATGAATATTAAAAAAACAATGCTAATATTGTAAACCAAACTGTATTTATTGAAACTGGGATAAATACCACAGACACTCGGCTTCTCATCTGAGCCATCAGGACAGTTTTGTATTCCATTACAGAAGTCAGTTTGAGGAATGCACGTTTTCCCATCGGCACATAGTTTCTGTTCATCTGGACAGTTCACTGGATTGATTGAAAGAAGATGCACAACTATTAACACTTTTTAAAGGATCAATCCACTTAAAAAAAGGCTAATTTTACTAGTCCCCTAGAGTTAAACAGTTGAGTTTTACCATTTTTAATATTCAGCGCATATTTGTGTCTGGCTGGAGAATCTTTAGCTTAGCTTAGCATATATCATTGAATCAGATTAGACAATTAGCTTCTTGCTCAAAATGACCAAATGAGCTACAATGTTTTTTTTCTATTTAAAGCTAGACTCTTCTGTAGTTACACTCTGTACTAAGACTGAAAAAAAATGTAAAGTTGCTAATTTCTAGGATGATAGTTTTACGGATTTATATATATTTTTTTGGGAAGTCGTGAGCATCTAGATAATTCTAGGAAAATACGACAGTACGTTGGGAAGCGTGCAATCCCGATAGGGAGGACGCTGCGGAGGCCATCCGTTACCCAAGGGGGGATAGATGGCAGAATTTACATATGGACTAGCCCTAAAAAGGGGGAGTACGCATAGCAAAAGAGTGGTTAGCGGGGAGGGAAGACACAGGTCCGCCCAGGGGGGGACTTAACCGTGGCTGAATAAGCATATGGGATCGCCTAGTGGGGACCACGCATAGCAGGCACCTTTACCCAAAACGCGGGCTGACCAGCGGGCAGACCTACAACGTAGTGGGCCAGCAAGTGACTCCTCCGCTGAGTCAGTGCTGGGGGCCACGGAGGAATCTGCAGGGCTCACCTGACGGGGAACTTTACTGACAGATAAAAAGGCGCACGTATCTCCGTGTTAGGGAAAATGGCGCAGCAAGCGTGTTTCAACACCCTACCGAATTGTTTCCTCAATCACCAAGGGTTACCTAATACCCTTGAGGAAACCGGCTCCACTCGCAGATTGTAAAACCTTGCAAATGTGTTGGGTGTCACCCAGCCCGCAGCTCTACAGATGTCTGTTAGAGGGGCGCCGCGTGCGTGCGCTCGAGAGGATGCGAAGCTCCGAGTGGAGTGCGCACGCGCTCTCGGGGGACGCGGCTCATCTCGGCTCTGATAGTGAAAGAAGGCATCCACAATCTAGTGGGAACTTATTTCGGTACGGCACTTCCCTGCTGCCGACCGCTATAACAGACGAAGAGCTGCTCAGATGAACTAAACTCTGAGTGCGGTCCGGATAATACGCAAAACGCGAACTGGACAATAATAAGGGCTGGGTCTGCCTCCTCCGAGGGCAGCGCTTGCAGGCTCACTACCTCGTATTAAAACGGAGTGGTAGGAACCTTGGGCACATATCGCGGGCGGGGTCTCATACGTGAGAGAAGCCAGCCCAATTACAGGCACGAGTCACTGACCGAAAAATGCCTCCGGGTCCCCGACCCTCTGATCGATATCAACGCGACCAGCAGAGCTGTCTTCAGGGACAGAAATATACTGAGTCGAGGATCGAAGGGATCTGACGCGGCTTGTGTAGCGAGGGCGAGATCCTAAGAGGGCATGAGAGGGGGCGGGGTGGATTAATTCGCTTAACGCCCCTGAGGAACCGGATGATGAGGTTATGCGTTCCCACGGTGCTGCCAGCCACCGCGTTATGAGAGCGGAGATGGCAGCCACGTAACCTTGAGTGTGGAGGGCGACAGCCTGCTCTCCAGCTTCTCTCGGCGTAAAGAAAGCACAACGCTGATCTGGCAAATTACGGGGGTCTTCTCAGCGAGAGACACACCATTCAGTGAATAGACTTCACGTCAGGGCATAGGCGCGCTCGGGGAGGGAAAGAACAACTGGCAATGAGCGATCTCGGGGGAAGCAACAGATCGATCTGGGCTTCCCCGAATCGCGCCCATATCAGCTGAACAGACTCGGGGTGGAGTCTCCATGCTCCAGGACGCAAGGCTGCCGTGAGAGCGCATCGGCTGCACGGTTGAGCTTGCCTGAATATGAATGGCGTGCAGCGATTTCAGCCGCGGATGACTCCAGAGGAGCAGACGGCGGGCGAGCTGAGACATGCGGCGAGAGCGCATACCCCCTATACGGCTGATATACGCCACCGCCGCCGTACTGTCCGTCCTGACCAGCACGTGTTGCCGCTCCAGCACCGGAAAAAAACGGTGGAGAGCGAGGAACACTGCCAACAGCTCCAGGCGATATGCCAATGCAACTGGGTACCTTTCCACAGGTCCGCAGCCGCATGCCCGCAACGCACAGCCCCCCAGCCCGTGTTGGAAGCGTCTGCTGAAACGACAACTGTTCTAGAGACACCCAGGCCTGTAGGAACGAGGGGTCGCTCCAAGGGCTGATGGCGCGGCGACACAGCGCAGTAACAGAGACTCGGTGTGCGCGCGCGTCTGGGGACTCGATCGTGAAGCCAGTGCTGAAGTGGTCTCATATAGAATAATCCGAGCGGCATGAAGCGGCTGCGGATGCCATATGCCCCAGGAGCCTCTGAAATAGTTTCAGTGGGACCACTATTTTACTGTCGAGCTCTCTCAGACAGTACAGCATCAGCTGAGCGCGCTCTCCGGAGAGGCGCGCTGCCATGGTGACCGAGTCTAGCTCCAGCCCGAGAGAAGAGATCCTCTGCACGGGGGCGAGTTTGCTCTTTTCTCGGTTGACCTGAAACCCCCACAGGTGGAAGTGCCAGAGCACTTTGTCTCTGTGCATAATCAACTCTGTGCATAATCAAAGAGAGGGCAATTCAGCCAGTCGTAAAGAAATTGAGTATGCAGATGCCCGCGAGCCGAAGGGGCGCTGAGGCACCCTCCGCGGGCTTGGTGAGGACCCGCGGAGACAGAGAGAGCCCGAAGGGGAGGGCTTTGTATTGCCAAGCTCGACCTTCAAACGCAAACCGCAGAAACTGTCGGTGGCGAGGAAGAGTGGAGACATGGAAATACGCGTCCATCAGGTCTAATGCTGCAGACCAACCCAGAGGACGAACGCACCGGAGGATGCGCTTCTGCGTTAGCATTCTGAACGGCAGCTTGTGCAGGCAGCGGTTCAAAACGCGCAGATCTAGGATTGGCCGTAACCCACCGCTCTTTTTGGGCACGATGAAGCGTGGGCTGTAAAACCCGCTCTCCATCTCGGCTGGAGGGAGCGGCTCGATTGCATCCTTCGCCAGGAGGACAGCAATCTCCTCTCGCAAGACAGGGGCGGACAGGGGGCTGACCCTGGTGAATACACACCCGTGACTTGGGGGGCCGTTTCGCGAACTGAATCGCATAGCCGAGTCTGATTGTGCGTATGAGCCACCGCGAAGAGCTGGCCCGCGCTAACCAGGCAGGCAGAGCTCTCGCTAATGGACTCATCGCTACAATCGCTGACGTACCAGCAGTGGGGCAGCGCGGAGTGGGTGTGCTGATCCGGGAAGCTCGCGGGTCCCACGGAAAAGCTGGAGGTGAGATATTTTGCTCTCACTCCAAACCCGAGCTCCGGAGGGGAGGCTCGAGGGGTGGGAGAAAGGAGACCGTCCTCCCAGCGCTCGTGAGCCACTGGCGAAACGCACCGAATCTGCCAGCTAGAAAGCATAGCGTCCCAGACTGGCAGATTTCGGGCTGTCACATCTGGGGAAGTGAAAAGTGCCCTTTCATAATGTTTTCATGGCAGTAAAAAGTGCCGTTGGAAATGGGGCCCCGCCCTCCAGCGGGGAAAGAGCAAGTTCCCTCTTCTCCAGATGGCCTGTCCCAGGGGCGCTTCGCGGTCCGTTGCCGGACTTAGCGGCGTTCTGGGCAGGGGGGCTGCCTGCTTCCGAGGTGCCCGACGCGCTCGCTTCGCCGAAGGCGTGTGCGGGGGCGGAGCAGCTCTCGTAGGCGGGCGCCTTCGGCGAGGAGCAGGTATGAATGGCACGGCGGGCGGAGCGGGCTACGGACCGCCGATAAGACATCACCCACCAACTGCTCTCTCACCGCCTTGAATTCCTGGGTGAATTCACAGACAGTGTCGCCGAACCTGGCTGGGGATATGGGGAAGTCAAGAAAGCGGACTTTGTCGACTTTGCGCATATCAGCCAGGGGTGGCGCTCCTGGACCACTAATGTGGACATCGTCCTCCCCAACGCACACGCAGCGGACTCAGTAGTCCGAAGAGCTAAGTCGGCGGCGGTGCGAAGCTCGTAAGCCTGGGTTGGACCCACCCTCGTGCAGCTCGGCCAGCGCCTGCGCTTGGTAGCGCTGGTAGGTGGCTATCGCATGCAAGGCGGAAGCAGCCTGGCCCGCAGCTATGTAAGCTCTAGCTCCGAGGGAGGTAGATAACTTACAGGCTTTGGATGGGAGACGAGGCGAACCCGCCAAGAAGAGGCGCCGCGCGGATTTACCGCCATCGCGCACTCAACCTGAGGAATCGCCACATACCCCCTGGCTGTTTCACCGTCAAGAGTGGTTAGGGTGGAGGAACACGCAGCACGAGCAGAAAAAAAGTGCTTTACAAGACCGCGTGAGCCTACTGTGCACCTCCGGGAAGAAGGGAACGCCCCTCTAGTCGGTCCGGCCGCGGAGCTGGGGGATAAACCATCTCCAACCCACGGCCGAAGCAGCCCGGGAAAGCACGGCTAACATGTCCGTTTCAGGATCCGTAGTGACAGCGCTCACCAGCCCGAAGGGGGCGAGCGGGTCTGGATCATCATCGGACAATGAAAGCCCACCCTCCGATGCCGCGGTGGACATCTGGTCTCCGGTGTCATCGGGCGTAAGGGCTACCATCTGTTAGACGGATCGCTTCCCCCGCCCGAAGCTTGGATGGAGCGCTTAGAGGAGCGGGAGGTCCGCGGGCCCGTGGGCGACGGATTATCTCTCGCTGAAACCCTCAGATCTGCCCGAGTGCCCGCTGCAGAGCAGGGGACAACTGGGGTGGTTCGCCCTTTTGCAAAGGCTAACCGCGATCTTGCGCAACAGTCATGGCATCGCAATGACGACATGAACTGCCCGCGAGCAGCGCATTAACATGCTGGACCCCCAGACATGTAACGCAGTGCCCGCGCCCATCATCCGAGGACAGGAAACCACCGCATCCAGAAACGCACAGTCGGAGCGCCGTCCTGATAAGGACGTGCTGCACGACTGTGTTGCTCTTTCTGTGAAGTTTGCAACTTTATACGCACCGCTCTGGAGGACCGGACCCAAAGAACGCCAGGCAAGGGAGAAACCCAGCTCGACCGTCTGCCACTGCGTGTACACACTCTGGACCGGGAGAATGCTCTCGTTCGCTCAGAATCGCTGGTCACAGCAGGAGGAACCCTCATCGACTCGATCAGAAAGTCTCTGAAGCGAAAAGGATAGCGTCTGCTGGCGCCAGGTGAGCTTATATACTCAGTTGATTGCTTATGCCGCTCACCTGCGCAGGCTTGCGCTGCCAATTCATTCTTAATTGGCCCGTTCAATACTCTTTCAGACGAGTAGCTTCTGAACCGAACCTCCCCCAATGCGTGGATTTTACAATCAAATCCACTTATAGTGCTGAAGTTCCCCCCGAAGGGGAACTCTAGTTTCACTGTTAACCTAGCTTACTCTTGTGTCTGTGTTAACACAGAATGAAGTGAGTGCATCGATGGCCAATCACAAAATTTCTGTTGAGCTCCTGAGCACAATGGCCATTCAGCTCATGCTGATATGCTCTTTCATTGGCTGCAGCTCGTCACTACATCTGACCACGTGGCGTTGAGTCGGCCGACAGCTCTGGAATATGCTAGATATTGGATTTCCATCTGCGAGTTATTAGCGACACGTCAGCGAGCCTTTTTGATGCGTTGTTCAGTAATAAAGACTGCCAAGTGCCAAGCACCCACAGATTTTTTCCCGATCACAGCCTGATCTGTCGGCAAGCTTGTTAACTTTCAAATCAGGCTCAAATCAGGCTTAAAATCCTGTATTGTGAACTAGGCTTTACCTAACTGGGGACTGTTCATTTGAAGCACTGGGATTTTTTAGAAATCATATCAAATTAAAATAACTTTAACTTTTATATGCAACACTGCCCATGAGTGTCAGTTCCAAGCAGTAAACCAATCAGAACTCGGAGAAATGGCAAGCAGAGTGTTTCTGTTTTACAGGCGTTCAGTGGCTGTGTTTTTCTTTGTCCCTGGCCCTGTCCCTGTCCTTGACCTGTGTCACGCAGTTTCCATGATGTCATGATACTTGTCATGTCATTATGATAACACACATCAATAAAATATAAAGCATGTCCCACCTGGTTTTGTTGTAGATGGTCTCTGGGTGGTTGTTGGTTTATCTGTGGGTATATATTAAAACATTTATATAATATAAAGGATCATCAAATGTTTTTAAAAATGTCATTTTTTTTCCATAAGAGTGATTAAAATCATTAATAAAATATTTTATATAGTAATATATGTCAATATTAAAATAAATGTTTTCTATTTTACTTGAATTTTAAGTTGTACTGCCATTTATTTCTATGTGCAATTTTTTTTTCAGTCTAAAGATTGTTGTCAAGTTAGCATGTCAAGATAAGTCACCTTATTTCTATGATATACATATATTACCCCTGTTGATGTAGATTGTCTTTTTTTTCTGCTGTCAGCTGAAAAATAGCTGAATAAGGGTCCGATCACACCAAACGCCCATTTTTTTGTGTTGAGAGGTGCTATTTTTTAATGATTTACTACTGACCGCGAACGTTCTATCTGCTGCTTATGTGCCCTGCACGCCTCGCATTTTAACCACCTGCTGTACTTCGCGTTTTTACTGTTGCCGCTGTCCACTCGCAGTTGAAAAAATCAACTCTGAGCGGAAAATATGCGTCTTTTTCATTCTCCAATCAAATGAAAGCAGAAATGGGGTTTCCGTTGAGGTGCCTGCAGTGTTTGTGTTGTTTAGACGACTACGGAGACTTTTGAAGATGGAGGAGAGACTAGTAGTTTTTGCTTTAAATTATCCGGTGCTGTCAAATTCAAACCTTGAATTTTAACAATTTTATTAAATACTAAAATTGTATTAATATCAACAGCAACACTTGTGCACAATACGCAGCTGATTCAGTCATTGACTAGCAGCATAAAAAAAAACGCACTGCACTTCTTTTTCTTGTCAACAAAAAAGGCAGTGCTGTGCGCCTTGCGTTTTTGGAATGTAAAGGCACGTTTGGTGTGATCGACCCCTAATACAATCAGATAAACAATCTTTATTGTTAGGTTAAAGGGGTAGTACACCCAAAATTGAAAATTATTTCATCATTTACTCACCTTTGACTTGTTCCAAACCTTCTTCCAAAAATACACTCTCAGAAATAAAGGTACATGAGCTGTCGCTGGGGTGGTACCTTTTAAAATGGTACAAATTTGTACTTAAAAGGTCCATATTAATACCTCAAGGGTACATATTAGTATCTAAAATGTACAAAAGTGTTGCTTTTAAAAATTTAAGGAACTAATATATACTTTTGAGGTACCAATATAAACCCTTTAAGTACAAATGTGTACCTTTTGAAAAGGTACAACCCCAGTGACAGCTCGTGTACCTTTATTTCTGAGAGTGTAAGATATGTTAAAGAATGTTGGAAACTGGGAGACAATGAGATACACAGTAGGAAAAACAAATACTATAGAAATCAATGGTTACAGGTTTCCAACATTTTTAAAAAACTATCCTTTTGCTTTTCAACAAAACAAAACTCAAACTGGTTTGGAAAAAGTCAAGAATTAATAAATGATGACAGAATGTAATTTTTTTTAGTTAACTGTCCCTTTAAAAGGGACCAATCATGCTTTTTTTACAAGATGTAAAATAAGTCTCTGTTCTCCTTGGAATGTGCACGTGAAGTTTTAGCTTAAAATACATCACAAATAATGTTTTACAATGCCCTCGTTTTAAAACACAGCAGAGCTACAAATGCCTATGTATCAGCATAGTGGCAGACTCAAAAACATTCTATGCTAATGAGGGAGAGATCATAACTTTTCCCCTCTGATGACATTTACACAGGGAGAATCTCAATCAAAGTGTTTTATGAAGTGTGATTATAAAAATACAATTAATACATTTTTACCATTAGAAGCTCCTAACGTTCACAGACTGTTCACACAACTGTGATTTTTGCGTAATAGGTCCCCTTTAAATTAGAACTGAGGTCACATGGAAATCTTAAGATGAAATTCAAACTAAGAAACTTTTATGTCTTGATATTAATGACATTACCTGTGACCTCCACACTGCCGATGTCTATTACAAGTCCATCATTTCCACTTTCACCCTGCTGTAATCCATCAACTAACTGTTTCTGCGCCATCTCAGAATCCAGAACACCACGAAAGAAGACGTCAAAGTCCACAACCACACTGCCTTCACTGAGAGAAAACAAACAAGAATATCTTTCAGATTAAAAACTAGTTACCGGAATTACAAGTACAACTGTATTTAATTTCTATTGGAGAATATAGTGGTTAGTCTGCCTATTTTTCTAACCTGATTGTAGAACAAACATTTCTTTGGTTTTATTTACACATAATCCTACAAATAATAAAAATGCTTCCCTAACAATGAAATTTTACAATTTCAATTTTACAATTAAAAGGGGAAAATTTGAGAAAAAAATAATTCATTTAAAAACTCAAATGTCACCACAATGATTGTAAGGAGTGTTATGTTGTCTAGCCTTTTATTTTGTAGTTTAGTTAGATACAGCCATTCAAACAACTTTACCGAAGCCTCTCTACTTGAAGGTTGGTCTCGCGTGTCCGCCATGTTTGTAGTTTGTTTACACGTTTTACCCGAATTTGTGGCTCTAATCAAATTCACGTCCAATGTGCAATGTATTGTGTGCAATATTAGCGGTTAGAGCAGCCATGTCCAAGCTCGGTCCTGGAGGGCCGGTGTCCTGCAAAGTTTAGTTCCAACCCCAATCAGACACATCTGGGCTAGCTAATCAAGCTCTTATTAGGCTTTCTAGAAAAATCCTTGCAGGTGTGTTGAGTAGGGTTGGGTACCGAAACCCGATGCCAATATAGCATCGATACCTTGGTAACCAGTATGTACCGGTATTAAATCAGCGTATGAGTTTCGGTGCCTAATTTCAGTGCTGCGGCAAGGACGTAAGAAGCATCAAAGGGTTGCATGAAAAAAGGCACATATTAGCATTGTGTCACACCATCACTAAACATTTGATTCTAAACAACTTTGAGGAATACGGACAAGTGATATCAGGCGTTTGTTATTGTCGCTAGGGAACAGACACACACAACGTAGTACAGCGCATTCAGCGTAGTTTTCGGTGAGCGTGAGCAACACTCTTCAGATCTACACGCGTTCATCCAATTTGCTTAAACTAAGTATTCTAAAGCGTAATTTACAAGCAAGGATTCTTACACAGCAACTGTCTTTGCAAAAGTTAAGGGGGAAACATGTCAAACTTAATGACACATGCTCAAGGGCAGAGGAATGCCTCTCTGCGTGTTCTAGTTGTCACGCGCAATCGCTTTCTTGAGCACTTGCTTTCGAGGCACTTGCTCTCTCTGTGAAGGTGCTGCGCGCATCAGTTCCCCGTATTCGTCAATTGACGCCCAAATTGCCAAAGGTAATAAAAATATTAAACTTTAGTCATGTTTATGTTGTTAAACACTATCAAAATGTCCACTGTTGATATTAGACTTCTGTTTTCAATAGCGATTTTAACACTTTTAATAAGTCTTCGGCTATGCAGAGACCATTTTTAATTAGAAATCTAGTGTACATAGTTTTACGTTAGAAAATGCAGTCTTGAATTTACAAACAGTCGGCAAGTACCAAAGAACAGATGTAAGACATTGATCAAATGTAGTTTTCAGTCACGCTCATGTAAGTCATATTCAATTCGTTTAGTTTTGCCTTCATTCATTTTTGATTTCCGTCTTCAACACTTGATTTATTTAAAATACATTTTTAAACATAATAGTTTAACTAACTCATTTCTAATATCTACTTTTTTATCTTCCCCATGCTGAGAGTTAATACATAAAATTTTACTAGTTAGTTTGCAAGACAGTTGTTTTCAGACAAAGTGCCTTTAACCACTTAAACTCTGCTGCTATTTTGGGATTTCCGCCTGGATTTTGTCTACCCAAATTTAAAAGCTTCCCAAATCCACATACAGAGGTGTAAAAGCAAAAATTTGGTATCATTTTAAAGAAAACCCTTTGACTGTTCATAAAACACTATTGAAAGTGTTTAAAATAACTTTATTTGTCGTCTGTGTTATAATAAATACCTTTAAAAAAAAGGTGCTTTTTGTATTTTTTTTTATAAACTCAAATTTGAAAGTGTAACTTTTAGGTTCTGTGTGGTCTAGCGTGCTGTAATTAATTTTGGTGGTTCCTGCACATGTCTGTCATCATAGGAAAAAAGAAAAAGGTCTCTACCATAATCTATGCAAAAGTTATTGTATTCCAACTGATGAGAGGTGCTATACAAGCCACAGGGACCGATCATTGTTTTCATATTTCACTATTCTTTTGTTTGATCAAACATAATTCACTGTGTTTGGACCACATCAGACATATAAAAGGATTACTTATGCAAATCACCTCAAAAACAGAGGAGAATGGCCCTGAAGGGCACAGCATAAGGTAAGAGCTGACAGCTGTCTGTGCTATCTGGGGCTGCTTATTGATCATGAATGTATTGTTTACATTTCTGCGCCATGGAAACACCACAATTCATTCAACAACTGTTTGACATATGAATATAATTCAGTAAAAAGAATGCTAGAACTGTATGAGCACCGGCAAGAGCTTTCATTTGAGCTATAACTTGTACATGTGCCATATAAAAAATATGAAAATGAATCAATGTTCAATACCCAGCTCGGGTATCCAAAATACTGTGTATTTAAGTGTAAATAACTTTTATACAGTAGAATAAAAACCAAAGTGATGCACATGTGCATAAAATATAGATTCTACACTTTCAAACAACACCACTTACGGGGGTCTGGTGCAACGCTAGCCCTTTAAATCTGAAAGCGAAAGTCGATGACGACACGGACCCGGTACAGTGTTTAAGTGGTTAAGTATTTTATAGTTTTATATTAAGATTAAAGTTTAATTTAGACTTAATCAGTAAACTACTAAAGTTAAAATAATTAGTCAAATGATTTTGTAACTGATTTGTTGTGTAAATCAAAAAATATACAGTAAATATTTCTTAAGGAGGCTAATAATACTGACCTTATTTTTATTTAAATTAAAAATGGCTTTTATTCACGAAATAAACAATAGGAAATAGAACTTATGACTCCAGAATAATTATTTTTTTAAGAAACACAGTAAAAATTTTCAGAAACATTATTTTAAATGAATGGGATGGCAAAATAAATTGACTTCAACTGTAGGCCTGTTAAAGTTTACAGGTGCAGCAATGTGCCTTGATATACTTGAATGTTAGAAATGTGTTATCCTACACCAGTATAACGTTACTTGTCAAATAAATGAACAATGAAGATTATTTTAAGCTTAAGTTATTCAATTATCTTGTTTATGAAGACTGCAGAGGTATGCATGAAAACAATGACTTTGAATAATGTTTTAAGTATTTTGTGATATATATGTTAAAATGTGCTCCAAAAAGTACATTTAAAAAAAAAAAGTACAAGTTTTTTTTACAAGTTTTTAAAAATATTTTTTCAAATAAAATATTTTTTGTTGAGTCATCCTCCTTCATTTTGTGGCTAAAAAGTATCGGTTCAGTCACCGTTTTGGCACCGGTATCGTTTTAAAAGTATCGATTTAGCACCGGAATCGAAAAAAACCCAAACGATACCCAACCCTAGTGTTGAGGCAAGTAGGAGCTAGTGTTGAGGCAAGTAGGGTGCTTTAACCACCCCTGGGTTAAAGCAATGGTCTCAAACTAGTAGACTTAAACACCTTGATTAACTGGACCAGCTTTGTTAGATTAGAGTTAGCGCAAAACTGTGCAGAGCTGCGGTCCTCCAGGAATCAAGTTTAAGACCTATGGATTAGAGTATGGACGCTTCTTTTAGAATTTTTAATAGTAAACCATCTGGGAACCTTTGGCATATTCCTTTCAATAAAATATGGTTTGGGGCATACTAATTCTATTTTCGAATACTATTTAGGATGTATTATTTAACAAGTGTCGAGATCCCATAGTGCAAGTGTTTCACCCAGCTCACGTGACTAAAGCGATTCAAAGCATCAGTCATTTCAAAAGCATTAAGAGCCCTGACGTTTGATTGAAAAAATCCCCTCTCATGTAACCTCGAATCCAGACTTATGCAAATACTCAGAAATTGTGACTTGCTATATTTTAATTATGTTAACTCTTTATGATCAAAACAAGACATACAATTAAAATTATTAGGCCCCCTTGGATTTTTTTTTTTTATTTTAAAATATTTCCATAATGATTTTTAACAGAGCAAGGAAATTTTCACAGTATGTCTGATAATGTTTTCTTCTTCTAAAGAAAGTTTTATTTGTTTTATTTTGGCTAGAATAAAAGCAGTTATTAATTTTTTATAAAACATTTTAAGGTCAAAATTATTAGCCCCTTTAAGCTATATTTTTTGATAGTCTACAGAACAAACCAGTTAGACAATACCTTGGCTAATTACCCTAACCTGTCTAGTTGACCTAATTAACCCTGTTAAGCCTTTAAATGTCCCTTTAAGCTTAAAAAAATAAACGGGGGCTAATAATTCTGACTTCAACTAAATTTATTAACAAAGTGTTCGTATCAGACAAATGTTAAAACAAAACATGTTACAAAAACAGAGCATTTAAAAAAACTAATGTCTCCCCTGGATTCAAACAGAGCGGCAACCTGCCGCTCTCCTTCCTGAAGCAAATACGGAAGTATCTGAAACTGCAATTCATCGAAATTCTGCTAGTCCTGACTCCAAAATAGAGCACATTTCTGTTGAACCCAATGTTAAAATGGCCAACTTTACAGCATAAAAAAAGGTGTTTATAGCCTGATACAAAGAACAATTTTGGTTCATATAGCTAATATTACCTTTCATGACAACTGTGAGGGGGACTCATCCGTTTATTTTATATTAGGTTATATTAAGTCTGCATAATTAAGGGCGTGGCCACTTGAGTGACAGCTAGGTCTCGCTGGTCGTCGTCACTTCACCTCAGCTGATTAGTCACTGAACTCCACTCATACATCTTATTTTAGTTTTGTTTTATGTGGTATTACACAGTCAGTTGCTTTTTGGAATTATTTCTAACAATTATCAGATAATATAGCATGCTGTGTGCATCATTCAAGTTGCCTCTATTTCCCAGGTGAGTGAAATTATATACTTATATACTATCTCTATAAATGTATTTGTTTTATTTAAGATCATTTCTAATTTTCTTTAGACCTGTACTGCACTCTAGAATCTGACAGATTGATTAGCTGTAGGCTCTAGAACAGTCATCTGAAACGTTGTCATACAGTCTTATGCCTAGATTTCATAAACAGCCTTGCATTTACTAACACAGGCTATATTTGATGTGTTTGAAAGTAATTTGCATTTTCCTCCTGTAGAATAACGTCAAAAGAACAAGTCTAGTGGCTTGATGTATTACAACAGTGTTTTTAAAAGTCTAAACACTTATTGATATGGTGTACAACCAAGCACATGTGGTCAGAACACAAACGAGTTGCAGGTAATAAAGTATTAAGTGTTTCTCTCAAGGAAAAGCCCGTCTAAGCAAAATGCTAGCAGGCGTCTGTAGCTCTGCTCACGCTCCGGCTTTATGCCCTTGTTTGGTATCCCCCTGGTTAGTGCGATCACGCACAAATTAAATGGCGATGGTTGGCCACACAAACTGTTTTTTGGGTTCTTCAGAAACCTAGAGGTGACATCACGAATACATCCATATCTTTTACAGTCTATGTTTTGAACCCATTATCTCTACACGCAAGTCAGAAACTTTCACCGCTTCACTAAATAACTTAACTCAACTCTACAACATGGCATATACTTGGTATAATTCCTCAATTTGCCTATTTCTTTGCCTGAAGCTGATTAGGAGCAATACATAAAAATGACCACTAAGTGTCACTGTAGAGACAGGCTCCGAAATGTTTCGACGCATTTGCTTCAACAGTTTTAGGCTGCATCCAAAATCGCATACTTCTATACTGTATACTAAGCTAAAAAAAAAAAAAGTTTTTTTACAGAATTTCCGGAAATCAGGTTGAAGCAACTTAAATGTGCATTTTTATTGCTCTGTTCTTGTAATGTGTTTTATTGTAACATCAATCTGACTTTAGAATAAACTCTTTGTAAATAAAGGTGTTGTTAATAATTAATATTTCATTTAAAATTAACAATTTTTGATACATGTTTTAAAGTTCTTGGTTTTGCCATGCCTTGTATGGAGCCTGTTTTTGTTTTTATCCATGTTTTAGTAGCACACAATAAATGGCACTTGAGTTGCTGCACACTGCATTTGGTGGGTTTTTGTTACGATGTAGGGCCCTATCACACACCTGGAGCAATAAAGCACAAGACGTGTTTGGCGCGAATTGTTGCTATTTTCAGACCAGCTGAAGAGTGCGTTAGTTATGCGCCTATGTGGGTTCAAACGCTTACACATTGCTTAATACACACAGAATGTACAGCAATACACAAATATCTTTACACATGGGAAATATAAAAGATTAACGTTACAAAAATTAATATTATCTATATAAACATAAAAACCTCTGCCTCCATGCCGTCTTTATGCCTCAATGCTTTTTTTTCAATTCATTCATGACAATTTGCATTTGTATAATGTTATTATTATTAGCAGTATTATTTAAAATACATATTTGTTTTAATAAAAAAAAAGTTTAGATTTGTCCACCTGTCGGGTTTTGGAGACGTATGCATTACTATATGGACATAAGAATAGGACATGTGTTTGGATATGTTTTTTTGACCACACTTCTTTATTATTGTTCATTTATTTTTTAGCTAGAAATTAAAACTGAATTTAGAAATGGTTTTAAAGCAAATCTTTGCGCATAACAAACAAAATTAAGTATGTATGCATATGGGTGTCTCCAGTGGAGTGAATTTCCACCGTTTCCTTATCCATGAAAGCAAAGGAGCAAAGTAAAAGTAAAAGTAAAGAGAAAGTAAAGAAACCGAATGGAGAAGGCTCATTCTTTATCCTAGCGCAGCAGATGGTCTGTTTAATTGTTTTATCATTAATAAAGCGTTCAGTTTTTCTACAAAATCAGCCATGTAAATAGCAAATGCCCAATGGCATGACACAACTGACTCTTAAAGGGAATTGGAGATGAGACTCTGATTGATTTAATGTACATGCTCAAAACATACTCGCAACCCATTAAGAGAACAATCACAATCCTGTTAGACCATGCGCCAGGGCACAGAGCGTATTTTCCATCCTTAAAATATAATGCTTAACGCTTTTGTGCCATGCGCTTTAGACTTTGCATCTAGATTGTTAAAATAGAGCCCGTAGTGTTTCACAACCGTATAATTACTTAAGATATTTCAATAGCTGATTTTAGGCAACATCTGTACCTAATGTCTCTGCATTTTATTGTGTATTATGAACTTTATTGCAGTCTATAGTTAAGATGCTTTTATATTTATATATTTATATATATACCTGAATTCATTGACCTTGGAACTTTTGAACTGCTCCTTAAGGGAAGAGCGACGGTAGGCATCACTGATCTGAAACAAAGCAACAATACAAATAAGAACACAAAATTTGCTTTATTCCACACAAAAAAAAACTGATAGAAATACTAACGCAACATTATATTAAAGTTAGCTGCCCTGACTGTCTTACCATAAAAACATGATTAGTATATCACATAAAATACTATAAATGTGTCTGCTAAAAAAATAACATTTTTGGTCGTTGTAGACACAAATTCTGTAACAAATACCATGAATTAATCTTGTGAATATATTGTATGTTCACATTTAAAATGTTTTTGCATCATTAAGCTTATTATTAGTGAGCTATTAAAGACACTGTGTGTGATTTTCACAGCTGAAATGTACGTATGTACAACAAAGGCCTATTTTGATGACATTGTGACTAAGTTTGGAATCATGGGTGTTGTAGTCTTCAATACATCCTAAGGGACTCATATTCAAAACTTATTATCTTGGTAGTTTGAAGGAGAGTAAGGCTTAAAGCAGTCGCAGGGAAATAAAAAATTACAAAACATATTATTTTCTAGCCTACATAAATATGAAAAACCATACTTTCATGCCTTCTTCATCTCGAGAGGCTTTTTCAGTTTATTCATAACAATTTGCTTTTGTATAATGTTGTCCACTTACACTTACTTTATGTCATGTAAATAGCAAATGCACTTATGGCGCGACGCAACTGACTCTTAAAGGGAATGGGAGATGAGACTCTGATTGGTTTATTTTCAAAACACACCTATAACTCATTAAGAAAATAAACTCAACCCTTTTAGACCATGCGCCACCGCACAAAGCGGATTTTTCCATCCTTATATTAGCGAAAACACGCCCTGAAAGTATTTGCGCCCTGCATTTTGCACTTTGCGCATGGACCGTCAAAATAGAGCCTTATAACTTTATAACTCAGAATTGTGACTAATAACTCAAAATTCTAACTTTATAACTCAGAATCCTGACTTTATAACTCACAATTCTGTAATTTTGTAATTTCTAATTTTATAACCTAATTTTATAATCTTTTTTTATTATTCCTATTATTTTTTTTCAGTGGCGGGAATGGGCTTCCATAGTGAACAGCTTTCTACATAAACAATGAAAAATGAAAATGAAATGGCTACTTTACCCTCTGTTCAGTGTCATATGCCAGAGCCTTAAACTGTGCGCTGTTTTTATTCAGGAGGTCCTCTGTAAAAACCGTTCCATTAGAGATAACCAGTTTCCCAGTGAACTCTGAGCCTGTTTCATCTTCATCTTCACCATTTGTTGCTAAAAACAAATTCATCAATAAAACATGGGTCAAGACATCGTACGCATTCAGTACGAGTACACTATAAAATGCAATTAGCTGACTTTACTTTAAAAAGTCTGTAAACACGTAGCTTTTACTTGACTTTAAGAAATTAGCAGTAAGACCTTTAAAATTAAGCAAAAGTGAACTATGTGCATGCACAATTATAAAAACTGAAGTCATCAACTAAACAATATTGAGTTACAATAAGTTTATAGTATATAGTTTCTATAAGTAAAGGTTTGCTTGTCACTTTTTAACCAATAAGTTTACTCACTTTTTAATGTAAATTAAATAAATCACTTTTTACAGTGTTAATATTAATTTTAAATTTGGAGGAAATCAAGTCTCATACCTTTGCTGTCTAGTGCGAGCGAAGTGACAACAATTAGTCCAATACAAACCGCAAACAGCAAAGCAACAAGTGTGGTGAGCAGCACTTCCGTGGATGAAAAATTACAACGTTTTCTACCCATTTTACAGACAAACAACTAGTTTAAAAAGACTCTTTTCTTTAAATGACAATCAAATACTGAAAATTCAGAAATGACACAGGGCTTATAATATCCCTCCTTCTTCCTTATGCTCCTGTTATATAGCCTAGCAATAAATGTTTATTGAACAGTAACTAATGATGTTTAAATCAGAACAGTTGCCGTTTTATCAGTATTTCCAGAAGGCATAAAACAACAGGGAAGAGATAAAAGTTAAAACTGTGGCAAGGATGTAATGGAAGTTGGAAGTAAAAACTATAAAATGATCATGCAAGATTTATTTTTTCCCTTAGGACTGTCAATTTTAAATAAATGTTTACACATGAGAAGAATCAACATGTGCTGTGAACACTTACCTGACCTCCCATCATAACCTTAATGTCTTTATAAAAAGAAATAATAACATCATTACTCAACAACACAGCCAAAAACAGCATACAAATGGTATTTTTTGCAAAACTGTTGCAATTTATATGGGCTAAATTAACAAATTTATTTAATGTTCAACTTATTTGTTTGTTTAAATTTAGCCCATATAAATTGTTTGCAACCACTTACCTTATGAAAAATTTTCATTATCAAAGTTTATTATTATTGCAAGTACATCCATGTAAAGTCTCTTTAACACAATCTGCATTATATAACGTGCTACTGAAATAAAGGGGTCTTGGCTTGATTTTGTTAATAGAACATTAGTAATTTTATTTAAATAAAGATTACAGAATTACAAAAATTACTATTGAAATATTTAAAATTGAAAACAATCTGAAAAAAGGTAACATTGCATATATATTTCATTTACATTAATATTTTCTGTAGAATGCTTTACAATGTTGCAATAGCACACATTAGATTAGTCCCGACCGTAGTTAAATTTGGAGCTAATCTAACAAAAAAAAATGTACGATAATGTTCCAGAAATTAGTATCTAGGAAAAAATATGAAATAAACATTTTAAAATGAGCAAAAAAGTCTAGAGAAATTAAAAATGTTGATGTTCGTAATTTTTTTTTTTGCAATACTTCGAATTAATTTAAATGTATCATCTTCCTTTTTTAAAAAAAAGTTAATTGACTAAAATATTATTTTATTAAATATATCAGTTTAATAACTCTGTTTTGTTAAAATGAACCAAAATATATTACATATATTCACTCAGAAATGTAAAAATATTCAAGTGTGTCATTTATGCTGAGCACTGTATTATATATATTTATACACACACACACACACACACACACACACAAGTTAAGGTAACTCAAACCGTTTGAGGAGAAACCGATTGCAACAAACTATTTAAGTTTAAAACCTAATCCAAGTGAGTAGTGTGAACTTAATCTAATTGAGTAAACGCAGCAATTTGAGCACAGTAAAACCCAATAAATGAAGAGAACTCAAACCAACAGAGTACTGTAAATCCCAATGAGTTAAGGGAACTCATTGCATTTGAGGAAACCAATTGCTACAAACCAGTTAAAAAACTAATCTATTTGAGTACTGTGAACTTACTCCATTTAAGTTGATGTAATGAGGAATTTAATTAACTCATTACCTTCAACACTGAGTTCAAAACTCTATTCAAATGAGTTAACTTTAGGTAAATTTTGAGTTAACTACACTCTGTTTATTTAATAATGTTGAATGTTGGGTTTTACAGTATGTTTGTGTGTGTGTGTGTGTGTGTGTGTGTTTATGTGCCTTTTTATATAGTGTATGTAAACGTCTGGTGTCAACTGTGTGTGTGTGTGTGTGTGTGTGTGTGTGTGTGTGTGTGTGTGTGTGTGTGTATATACATATATATATACATATATATATATATATATATATACATACACACACATACACAGTTGACACCGGACGTTTACATACACTATATAAAAAGGCACATAACCATTTAAAAAAGGTCAGATAACTTTTTCTCTTTTAGGTAAGTTAGGATTATCAAATTTGTTTCTGCTTAATAGCAGAATAATGAGAGATATTTTTTTTTAAAACTCGTATAACTTTTCTTGAAAGTCAAGTTTACATACAATAATATTATTATGCCTCTGAAAAAGCTCAGATGATGGTGTTAAGGTTTTGGAAGTTTCTGATTGGCTAATTGACAACATTTAAATTAATTGGAAAGGAAAACCTCAAACACAGTGCTTCTTTGTGTGACAACATGGGGAAATCAACAAGCCAGAATCAACAAAAAAGCCAGATTACTATTTGCTATATTACACTGGGAAAAAGAATAATTTTTGGAGACATGTCCTGTGGTCTGATGGAACTAAGATTGAAATGTTTGGCCGAAATGACCAGTGTTACATTTGAAGGACAAAGGGGAAAGCTTACAAAGCCTAGGAACACCATCTCAACTGTGAAGCATGGGGGTGGCAGCATCATGTTGTGGGGCTGTTTTGCTGCAGGAGGGACTGGTCCACTTCACAGTATTGATGGCGTCATGAAGAAAGAACATTATGTAGAAATACTGAAACAACATCTCAAAACATCAGCCAGGAAATTAAAACTTGGCCACAAATGGGTCCAAACAGACCATGACCATGAGCATAGTGCCAAATTAAGTGCTTTAAGGACAACAGAGTGATTATTTTGGAGTGGCCATCACAAAGCCCTGAACTCAATCCTATAGATAATGTGTAGGCAAATCCTAAAAATCTGACTCGGTTATACCAATTCTGTCAGGAGGAATGGGCCGAAATTCCTTCAAACTATTGTGATAAGCTTGTGGAAGGATACCCAAAACATTTGACCAAAGTTATACATTTTAAAAGCAAAGCAAAAAAATAAATAAAAAATACCAAGGAATTGTATATAAACTTCTAACAGTCTAGAAATTAATATAAAATTCTCCAAAAAAAATGTATCTCATTATTCAGGCATTTAGCAAATGTAAATCATTTTAGGTAATCCTAACTTACCTAAAATGGTAAATGTTGAGTATGATTTATCATCAGATATTTTTTTTTAATGATTTTGTTCCTTTTTTTAGAAAACTTCAAAGAAACTTCTTCAAAGAAACTGTGTAAACTTCAAGAAAGGGATTGAGTCTTTAGACTTTTGAGTTAGTTATGAAGTTACAACGAGTCAAATAACAGAAGTACTGGGATAGCAGTTTAGATAAAATTACTGATGTTTATAAATTATTTAGCCATTATAGGTGGCCACAACCAGCCATCAAAAATATGCCACTAAATAGTTCTTCAAAAATGATCCATCTATTAATGAAACATGAAGTTTTATGAGTGAATAACTGAATTATTAAAAATAAGACTAAAAATAAATATGGGTTGTGAAAATTATAATGTTGGATTTATACATTTAGCAATATCAGCAACAGTAGGAGTAACAGAGAATTTTTCACAGTACTGAACATTTTACAATTTATTTATTCAGCTGATTATTTCTACATTTTATTTTTTAATATAATTACAGGTTCTAATTTCTCTTTGTTAAAACCAAAAGTTTATTGCAGTGTTGTTTTGTAATAAATGGAAAGCAAATTACATTTGTCTCCTCCCCTTTTAGGCTGATCCGAAAATGGTCCGATCCGTGACTAAAAACCATCACATGATCCGAACAGTGAGATTTGTGGTTCTGAAAATTGGAATTTGGTGATCATGAAATATCTGTTATTATCAGGGTTGAAAATAATGCTTCTTCATATTTCTTTTTGTGGAACCCACGATTTAAAACCATGAAAATGTAATAAATACATAAATAATAAATAAATATGAAAGGTCAATCTTTTGTATTTGTATGCATTTGACTTTTATCTGAAGTGAATTTACACTGAATGCAATCAGTTATTACGTTCCCTGGAAATCCAACCCACAATCAATGTATCACTTTTTTATCAATTTATTACATCCTTGCTGATTAAAAGTATAATTTTTTTTTTTTTTTAAACGTTTCAACAAAATTTTCCAGAGCTCACCTGGGTTTAACTTTAGTATTTTTTTATGAATTGATCAATCAATACCAGAACCAGCTAAAATTGATTTTACCCCTGTACCTAGCAAAATAAATCTTTAAAAAAAGTCTAAAGTCTGAAGTGATTGCGTCTTATCATACCATTTAAAGCTAAAGCTGTTTCACCCGCAGCAGGTTACTCGATTGAACTGACGTCGCCCTTGAGAACTGACTATAAATTATCCTCCAATATAAATGTGATGTTTTGCGTGACATTACTCTTTTATTTGCCACTATAAAAATGTCTTTGTAGAAAAACAAAATGACCAATCAATCACTGTGTCGTTGACTTTTTAATCACGTCAAGTTTATCAGCAAAACACAAATAACAAGTAAGATGCATTTATATGGCTTTATTAGAGCATTTGCAGATATTAATAATTTACAGCGTACAGTCTGATTTAGTAAAATACTGTGCATGTGTGGGTGTAAGAGGGGTCGGGGTGTTTGAAGAGTGCCCACCGTATGGTCGTCTCTGAAAATGAAATGTTCATCTTGATTTAGATAGGATTTCAGTTTGTTTTTGCTATCAGGATTACATTTTGTTTTTTTGTTTTTTTTTATGGTAGGGTTAGGGTTGAGGTTAGGACTATGATAGTTTTTTATCCTCTTAAGTTTAAATTTGACTCACTTTGGCACCTGCTGACCTACAGAGCAACACATTCTCATTCAGGCAGGACGTCCAAGGAGGATATCCAGAATCCATCCACTGCTGGAGAGGAGGACAGTACCACACAGCTGGAGAACATGCATCCAGAGGTCTGCTGTACACCTTAAAACAATTCAATTTTATTATTATTATTATTATATGTTCCCATGTAGTTATCTGTTGGTCAATTTGCTGATATGAAGAAAAAGCGTTTTTTTTTTATTGTTATTTTTACTTACCATGTCACTCCAACCATTAGAATGACTCTCCACACCTGGACACCCATTTAAATTTGAAACCATATTATCCCTATAAGCAGAATCAGCACTGTATGGAGAACATTGATAGAAAAGAATGTCAAATTTAAAGGGCACGTATTATGCAAAAATCACTTTCATAAGGGGTTTAAACACAGTTGTGTGGCAACAGTCTGTGAACATAACCAGCTTCTTATGATAAAAAATAATTAGATTTTTTATAATCACACTTCATAAAAACAGTCTGCAGAAACACTTGGATAGACATTCTCACTTTGTACGTGTCATTAGAGGGCTAAAGCCCCACCCATTAGTGACAATCTCTCCCTCATTAGCATAGAACATGAGTCTTGTTTTTAAATCTGCCACTACTCTGACACATAGGCATTTGTAGCTCCGCCTTCTATTGAAAGTCCTATTATCATTTGAATTTAAAGTGACGGTCACCAAAATGGCACAATTAGGAGCAAAGGCTAAAAGTAGCAGTTTTAAACAGTTAGAAAACTATTTTTGGGGTATTTTTGAGCTCAAACCTCACATACACACTCTAGGAACTCTTGTAAAAAGCACGTATTGTAAAAAGGGGCATAGTAAGTCCCCTTTAAATAAAAGTCACATTGTTAAGGACATGATAGTTAAAAAAAATGTTGAAAATGTTCGGCTTATGAAATAAGCAACTGTTTAAAATTTGACTTCAAGCGTACTGTGCCAAAAAAACCAAGTGAACTACGCTACAGCACATCTCTTCCAACCGTGCCAGGGTCGGCCAACTGAACCGTGCCTGATTCAGAGCACTTACACTTCTAAAACGAATCGGGAAATGCACCTGGGCACGGTTCGGATAGCATAGTGTGAGTAGTGGGCCCTAAGGCAGTGCGAAAACTGCGTGAGTTGAGCATTTGATACAATTAACGCGCGTATTGTAAAAAGGGGCATAGTAAGTCCCCTTTAAATAAAAGTCTCATTGTTAAGGACATCATAGTTACATTTTTTTTAATATGTTCGGCTTATGAAATAAACAACTGTTTAAAATGTGACTATTTTTGTAATGCTGCATTTACACCAGAAGCGGATGAAGCGTCAAGCGCGAGTGATTAACATGTTAAATCAATGCAAAGAAATAAATAGACATCCTGCGGCGCGATTTAAGCAAATAAGGGTGCACTCACATTAGGTACACATGCCTTGAACAGTGGCAAAGCACGATTTTCCCCATCCCCTCTCCCCATCGGTCTGCACTCGCATTGCATTTTTTACCTACCGGACCTGAGCACGCTTACATCATCAATAATACAACTGTTCAGTTTAACAGGAAGAGAAGCGCTCTCGCTCAGCACATTGGAGATTGCTTTAGTATATATAGTTATATATATATATATTATATATTTTTTTAGTAATTTGGGACGCAGTGACACGGAGTCAAACACTTTGCCAAACAGATCCACCACTTTTGACGCTCATAAATCCTCGTGCTGCAGGTATTAGGAGGTTTCCTGAAGGTGTAGCTGACGTGCAGCGAGGGGTTTGCATATTTAATAAACTACGACAGTTTCTGTTCATTGAAACTTAAGAATGATTTATAAAACCATATGAAACAGTCCCCTAAATGTCACATTGCGTCTTAAGTTTTGGGCTCAGGTGTGCTTTGCACTCACACTTTAAGCATACTGTGCCAAAAAGCACAAGTGAACCACGCTCTGGCACACCTCTTCCAACCGTGCCAGGGCCGACCAACTGAACCATGCCTGAGCCCGATTCAGAGCACATACACTTCTGAAACAAATCAGGAAATGCACCTGGGCACGGTTCGGATAGCATAGTGTGAGTAGTGGGCCCTAAGGCAGTGCGAAAGCTGTGTGAGTTGAGCATTTGATAAACTTAAAGGCTGATTTATACTTCTGCGTCAAACGCCGGCGTATGCTACGGCGCTGACGCATAGCCCTTCGCCGTGGCCATCGGCGTCACTGACGTGCACCTCTCAAAAAATGTAACTACACGTCGAAACAACGCGTAGCGCAAGCTCTGTGATTGGTCAGCTTGGTAGCGCTGAAGAGTCTGGGCGGGACAGAGAGCCGCGCGAATGGCGCAAGCCCGATGTAGCGATTGTTTACAAGTGTGGAGTCCCGTGAAGGAGCTCCGGATGGAAGGTTTTGTTTTGTGTTTACCTCATATTTAAAGTTGTTGCACGTCTGGCGGTTCCTGCCTCAAAATGGCCGAGTTTGATCCACTTGTACATCCAGGAAGTGTTCAGGAAAAGCAAAACAGCAGAGAAGAAACTCGACGCAGAGGAACATTTTCACCTCACTGCCAACTAGAGACAACAGAGAGACCAACAGAGACCAACAGAGACAGCGCGCAGAAGTATAAATGCACAGCTTCGCCCGTTGCATGCGCCGTGGGTTACGCCGGTCACTTGACGCAGAAGTATAAACCAGGCTTAACGCGCGTATTGCACAAATCGCTCAAGTTGGAAAACCAGAACTTCAACGGACATTCCCATGGGGAAATCCTCTTGCAAACACTGGACAACAGTTCTCCAAACTGGGCTCCCACCGCTGAAAGCCTCCATTATCCAGGTATAGTTTCTGGCAGAGTTGATGAACTCACAGAGTTTGGTACAACTCTGAAAGGATCTAGGGCACTCAGACGTGGCGCCGAACAAATGTATGCTGTTTTTCACCATTTCTAAAGCACATAAACACAGCTACTCTCTCAATAAAATCCATGTTAGCAATATCTATTGTGAAGTGAATTTCAGTGAATATCATGATTTATTCACGCCATCCACGTCTGGTGTGAACACACAAAATAGATTGGTTAAGCTTGGCAAGACTGTTTATCAAAAGTACAGTATTACTAGTAATACAGTTTCAAATGAATTCTATTATATAAACGTCTGATGATTTATGGCATATCTCCAATCCTCTGTGAAATTAAAACATTTTTGAGAATGTACATTAAATGACTATGATTTTTGTTAATTTTAACCTTCTAAGAATTTTTGAATTACTAGCTGATGAATGATTATATAATGGATACATGTATATAATGACATGAGACACCTACAACTATGTTGTTGCAAATATCTAAATTAATACACTTTTGAAAAAAAATTAAATAAATAAAGCAAAAAGAAGTTTAATAAATATATAAATACATAAAATAAAGTATTCTATTAAGCATTAGAAACCATAAACCAAACCAACCAGCTATGAGTGGAATTACACGATTAGTTGAGCATATAACAATAGGACAAAAAGACAGCGGTTCTAATTTCTATATATGTTTTTTTTTTAAAGAAAACTCTTCTGACTTCATAATTATGATCCCAAATTTAATATACATTTTCTAACTAATTGTTTTGTTATTCTCTATTCTGTCATAGAATTAAAGAGTAAATTTTTAGCTTCTCAGATTTTAATTGCTTTTAAAATATTTCCTAAGAAATGTTTAATGGAGAGAATATGCTTGTTAATTTTGGTTCATTTAATTAATGTTTGTTTCTACTAACTACATTTTTTTGTCTTTGCCCTAATAAAAGTAATTCATTTTTTACTAGATGTTTTTCAAGAAAGTAGTATTCCGCTTAAAGTGCAATTTAAAGGCTGAACTATGTTATTGGGTTAATTAGGCAAGTTATTGGATAATGGTTTGTATATACATAGAAAAAAACAAATACTATGAAAGTCAATGGTTACAGGTTTCCATCATTCTTCAAAATATCTTCTTTTGTGTTTAACATACAAAAAAATTCAAACAGGTTTGGAACACAGTCAATGGAGAGTAAATGATGACAATTTTCAATTTGTAAGTGAACTATCCCTTTAATCAGCAGATATGTTGCCTCAGGAAAGGCTTGTCAGGCAGCATTTACGCACAACTATACCTCCTAAAAATTTATTTTGGACAGATTTATGAGGCAACAGATGGTTTTCAATGATCTGCAACAAAATAGAGAGCTCAAGTGAAAAACGAGCAGAAAATATTAGCTGCAACTAATCACTGGGAAACATCCATACACACTCATACATACACTACGGAAAAATTAGCTTACCCAGTTTACCTACAGCTCATGTCTTTGGACTGGGGGAAACCGGAGCACCCGGAGAAAACCCACGCCAACACAAGGAGAACGTGTAAACTTCACACAGAAATGCCAACTGACCCAGCCAAGGCTCAAACCAGCGACCTTCTTGCTATGAGGTGATCGTGCTACCCATTGCACCACCCAAAGTAATATTAAATTTATATAATTTATTTACCTTTTTCTTTTTATTTAAATCCTTTTTTTTCTTTGTTTTGTTTTGTTTTTCTCTACTTAGTATCTCTTACCAGTTTATTATACTGAACTATTAAACGTTTCAAACGGTATTTTATCTTTTTTACTGAGTGCCTCAATTGTTTTGTTTTATAATTCGATTTCATATATTAAACTAATGAACAATTTAAAAAAAACATTAAAAAAATAATATAGCATTAGTAGACATTAAATCATAAACTCACTGGCCACTTTATAAGGTACACCTCAGTAGTACCGGGTTCAAGCCACTTTTGCTTTCAGAACTGCCTTAATCCTTCATGGCATAGATTCAACAAGGTACTGGAAATATTCCTCAGAGATTTTGGTCCATATTTACATGATAGCATCACGCAGTTGCTGCAGATTTGTCGGCTGCACATTCATGATGTGAATCTCCCATTCTACCACATCTCAAAGGTGCTCTATTGGATTGAAATCTGGTGACTGTGGAGGCCATTTGAGTACAGTGAAATTAATTGTCATATTCAAGAAACCAGTCTGAGATAATTTGCGCTGTATGACATGGCATGTTATCCTGCTCTATCCTGTACAATGTGGTCATAAAGGGATGCACATGGTCAGCAACAACACTCAGGTAGGCTGTGGTATTGACAGGATGCCCATTTGGTACTAATGGGCCCAAAGTGTGCCAAGAAAATATCCCCCAAACCATTGCAACACCACCACGACCACCAGCCTGAACTGTTGAATCAAAATAGGATGGATCTATGCTTTCATGTTGTTGACGCCAAATTCTGACCCTACCATCCGAATGTTGCAGCAGAAATCGAGACTCTTCAGACCAGGCAACGTTTTTTCCAATCCTCTATTTTCTAATTTTGGTGAGCCTGTTCAAATTGTAGCCTCAGTTTCCTGTTCTTAGCTGACAGGAGTGGCACCCGGTGTGGTCTTCTGCTGCTGTAGCACATCTGCCTCAAGGTTTGACGTGTTGTGCATTCAGAGATGCTCTTCTGCACACCTCCGTTTAAACGAGTGGTTATTTGAGTTACTGTTGTCTTTCTATCAGCTCGAACCAGTCTGACCATTCTCCTCTGACCTCTGGAACCAACAAGGCATTTGGGCACACAGAAATGCCACTCACTGGATATTTCCTCTTTTTCTAACCATTCTCTGTAAACCCTATAAACGGTTGTGGGTGAAAATCCCAGTAGATCAGCACAGTTTCTGAAATACTCAGACCAGCCCGTCTGATACTAACAACCATATACTAACAACCAAAGTCACTTAAATCACCTTTCTTCCCCATTCTGATGCTCAGTTTAAACTGCAGCACATTGTCTTTACCATGTCTACATGCCTAAATGCATTGGGTTGCTGCTATGTGATTGGCTGATAGGAAATCTACAATAACAAGCAGTTGGACAAGTGTACCTAATAAAGTGGCCAGTGTGTGTATTTAAATCATTCATAAAAATCTTCAGAATAATACACACCCAGCCCATGTGATTTTCTTTCACAATCCAACCCAGCCCTCCATTAAAGAAAAGAAAAAGTAAGCGGCCCTCACAGAACAAAGCTTAACGTAACTTTAGTGTAAGTTTTTAGTAATCTGACACACCTGTTTGTTATCAGTCCATTCTCCATGTGGAATGCAAACACGTCACTCCTATGATAATGGCCTCCTAAAAATAACACATTACAAGCATTCTGTTGTTGTTGTGTGTGTTCAAGATAACATGTCTGCCATCATCTCAACGCTGATGTATAAAGTCACCCACCATTATTACACTGTAACTTGATTGGTTGCCCATACAGCCAGATTCCATTGAGAAGTTCAACTGCATAGGGAACAGCTTCGGCATGCTTATAATAAACGCATGCATAAGGCGACTGCTGTCCATCTCTGGATATATGCACCTTGTCCACCGGTCCAGCCTGGTAAGTGATTTATATACGACAAAACAAAAACAATGTTGGAATGTTTTCCATACACGTACTTCCCCAAATGGAAAAGTAATATGGTAATTTCTTGTAAATATATACAAACAAATGATTCAATACTGTACTCATTTTCTTCAACTATATTTATTATTATACTTCAATACATAAAATTTTACTGTAGTAAGAACTAAAGTACACGACTACTTTTATTAAAAAAAACTTTTTTACTTGCTTTTCGAGTGCCTTGGACTAGCGATTTTGTTGTTTACAGTACATGTGACGAAACAGTATTTAATAGTTTTATTTATCATGAGAGTAAAGAGACAGCTAAAAGTTCACATTAAAAACTAAAAATCACCTCAAAATTTATTCAAACTTAAGCGGTTCTAAACCAGGGGTGGGCAAACTTGATCCTGGAGGGCCGGTGTCCTGCACAGTTTAGCTCCAACTCTAATCAAACACACCTGCTTAAAGATTTCTAGTGAACTTGAAGACACTGATTAGCTTGTTCAGGTGAGTTTGATTAGTGTTGGAGCTAAACTGTGCAGGACATCGGCCCTCCAGGACCGAGTTTGCCCACCCCTGTAATCTAAACGATTATGAATTTCTTTTGTTGAACACAAAAGAAGATATTGCGAAAAATGTTGGAAAACTGTAACAATTGACTTCTATAGACCTTTTTCATGGCTGCTGCATGGAGGGCGCCATAGCGACCAGCGTCTTCCGGTAGAATGCTAAAAACTTCTGTTTACAGCCTGTACAACTGGTACTTTGTGCTCCGAAAATGGGTTTCAATAACGTTTTTAATGGATAACAGAGTGTTTTTGTGACACACAACTTAAAAATGTGTCTGTTAAAGCCGTTATAATCTGTCACATGTGGTTCAAGCGCGTCAGAAATACGAGAAAAAACGTTCTCTTAGTTCACGTGTCTGCCGTCAGAAAAACAGTGTGTGTTCCCGGCCTGTCAGCTGTTAGCTCAGCGGCTCTTTAACACACACACACACACACACACACACACACACACACACACACACACAGAGAGAGAGAGAGAGAGAGAGAACCAGAGTACTGGCATGAAACTTAACAGGTATGAAAGTCGTGCAATTTACAAAAATGACCGATAAAAGTCTGTTATTGATACTCTGCTGGCTGATTTGCTGTTCATTCTAATCGCGAGCCGTTTGTGTTTTTTTCGTGTGTTGTTTTTTCTGTCATTTCGAAATGACATTAGCCTATATTTTCACTTTGTCACAGTTATTAAATCAGTGTGTCAGTGGCACAGTACAGGCTACGTGTGTGTGTCAAACATTTTGGTGAATTACATTTGTTTGGGCTGGTTATATATTTGAAATAAAGAGAAAATGTTGACTTTAGCGATAACAAGGCTTCATTTAGACATCACAAGATGCCGTCTGACAACGAGGGGAAAATGCCTCACAGCAGCTGTTTTCCATCCTATTAGATCGCATTTCTTTAAATGATCAGTCCAGGAGATGGTGCTGATGGACAACAGTATTAGTTCAAAGAGGATAAAAGCAGGTAAAATAGATTAAAACTATCGTTTCAATGCTGTCCAAATGTGACTGTTTACACGCATCAGCTGCCGACCGGAAGTTCTTCGCATTCTCCTTGCGCATACACACAAAGCATAATGGGTAATTTTGCGTTCCAAGAAAAAGGTCTATAGAATTTTCTTCTACTGTGCAAGTCAGTGGTACCACTTTTAGCTTTCTTCAAAATATCTTCTTTTGGTTTAATAGAAGAAACTCGTAAAGGTTTGGAACATCTCGAGCGCAAGTAAATGTGAGTAAATTTGTCTTATTTTTGGGTGAACTATCCCTTTAATAGTACTGTAGAGAGTTTAGAGTTGTTAAATACTATAAGATATACAGTATAATACAGTTTACTGTAGTATGGTTCAAAAACACTAGTGTTTACTATTAATTACTATAGTTCTTTTTGTGGGTTGCCTGACAAAATTATTAAATAAACCACAAATGAATAACCAAAAATAATACATACATTTTAAAGAAATTATTCTATACAAATGCTAACTTTAGAAATTATTTACATCAATAAGTTACTTTAAATAGTCATAAAGTGTGTTTAATTTAAGGTTTAAAATATCCTGAGGCTCTAAATTTGGGAAAATAAAGATATTTATCAACAGAACCGTCATCCTCTTGTTGTTTTGTTAATACACTTTACTATAGTATGGTTCAAAAACACTAGTGTTTACTATAAATTACCATAGTTTTTTGGTCACTTTATTTTGATGGTCCATTTGCTGAATTTAAAATTCATTGCATCTACATGCCAACTAATTCTCATTAGATTATAAGCAGATTGTTGGGGTTAGGGTTAGGGGGTAGTGTTAGTTGACATGTACTTGCAAAGTTTCTTATAATTAGTTAAATGTCTGTTGAAGGAGCAGTATTAACAGATATTAAGTAGATAGTCTACTAATACTCAAATGGACCATCAAATAAAGTGTTACCTATTTTTTTTTTTTTTTATGTGGGTCACCTGACTAAATTAATAAATGAACCCTAAATAAATAAACAACTAAAAATAATACATACATTTTAAAGAAATTACTCTATATAAATGCAAACCTTTGAATTCATTTACGTCAATAATTTACTTCAAATAGTCATAAAGTATGTCTAATTTAAAGATTAAAATAACCTGAGGCTCTAAATTTGAGAAAATAAAGGTATTTATCAACAAAACGTCATCCTCTTGTTGTTCTACTAATACACTGTACACTCTCATAAATAAAGGTGCAAGAGCTGTCACTAAGGTGGTACCTTTTTAAAAGGTACATATTTGTACTTAAAGGGTATATATTAGTACCTCAAAGGTATATATTAGTACCTAAAAATTTAAGAGGTACTCTTTTGTACTTCTTAGGAACTAATATGTACACTTGAAGTATTAATAAGGACCCTTTAAGTACAAATATGTACCTTTCAAAAAGGTACCACCCCAGTGACAGCTCTTGTACCTTTACGGTTCATAAACACTAGTGTTTGATATAAAATACTATAGTTTTTGGTCACACTTTATTTTGATGGTCCACTGAATTTAAGTTACATTGCATCTACATGCCAACTAATTCTCATTAGATTATAAGTAGACTGTTAGGTTGGGGTTAGGGGTTAGTGTACATTGACATGTACTTGCAAAGTGTCTTATAGTCAGTTAAATGACTGTTGAAGGAGCAGTATCAACAGATAATAAGCAGTAATCTACTAATACTCAAATGGACCATCAAAATAAAGTGTTACCTAGTTTTTTTTATGTGGGTCACCTGACGAAATTATTGAATAAACCATAAACAAATAAACAAAAATAATACATGCGCTTTATAGAAATTACTGTGTAAAAATGCAAGATTTTGAATTAATTTTACATCAATAAGTTATTTCAATAAAGCGTGTCTGATTTAAAGATTAAAATAACCTGAGGCTCTAAATTTGGCAAAATAAAGATATTTATTAACAGAAGTGTCGTCCTCTTCTTGTTTTACTTATACACTTTACTATAGTATGGTTCAAAAACACTAAACACATTGATGGTCTGTTTGCTGAATTTAAATTGCATCTACATGCTAATTTTCATTAGATTATAAGTGGACTGTTAGGTTGGGGTTAGTGTAAGTTGACATGTACTTGCAAAGTTTCTTATAGTCAGGAGCAGTATCAACAGATATTTAAATAGACAGTCAACAAGGCTAATACTCAAATGGACTTATTAATTTTTTAATGCTCAAAATAGTTTTATATGTGGGTCACCTGACGAAATTATTAAATAAACCATTAATAAATAAACAACCAAAAACAATACATATATTTTATAGAAATTACTCTATAAAAATGCAAGCTTTTGAATTCATTTTACGTCAATAAGTTAATTCAAATTGCCATTAAGTGTGTATAATTTAAAGATTAAATTAACATGAGGCTCTAAATTTGGGAAAATAAAGATATTTATCAACATTTATCGTCGTCCTCTTGTTGCTTGTTTCGTATTGCATGCATCAGTACATGACTTGGAACTTAAATGATGATGATGATGAAGGTATGTTTTGATCTCACCTGAAGAAACAATTCAAACAGAATCTCCTCCGTCACACATCTGTGGAGGTTTCCCACAATGATGGTCTTGTTTGATAAGGATAAATGCCTCGACATTCTTTAAAGCTCTTGCCAAAAGAGTTGAAACGTGAATATTGTGGGGTGGTTTTAGGTTGTCATGCTCTCTTTTGAGAGAAATGGGTTTGACTTGTCGTGATGCAAAACTGAATTGCGACAACGCGGTGCCGCGGTCAACCACAAGGTGACGCAATAGCCCCTAAAAAGTGGACAGGATGGTCAGCTTCACGAGTTATGTTTATTTTTTACTAGTAACAGGGGCTACATAAAACCTAATTTGCACTTATTTTATGTGACTTATACATGTGACGAATACATAGGCCTATTAGTGGTTTCTATTGGCCTATAAATGTAACAAAAGATATATACATGAAAGAGTCACAGATATGTGCGAAGAAAGGAAAACTAAATGAGTCTAATAAACATAAATATCTGAAGCATACAGTAAGTAAATTATTGAAATACGTACATTAAATAATATGTACAACAGCTTCAAGAAGAAATGTTTATTACCATTTATAAAACTATTTGTTTTTTTGTTTTTTTTTGTTTTGTTTTTTATTTAATTAATTGCAACGAAATGCTTATTTTTGAGTATAACAATTTATTTAATTTACATTTAATAAATAAAAATCTACGTTAAAAGGAAAACATTTTTATCCCATTTTAATGTTATTTATTAATAATATTTTTAACGTTTATTTGCATTTATTTTAATAGACATTTTCGAAATATATGCTATTAGAAATTATTATATATAACTACATAATAATTGTAATCATTATATAGCCTAACCTAAACAGTAGCCTATCTTTATTTTGCAATAAATATGTAGACTTTTTTAAACAAGTTTAAACAAATAAGAAACTGTGAATTTAGTTTATGTAGTGATCTCGACGTAAAAAAAAAAAAAAAAAAAAAAAAAAAAAAAAGTTGTTTTCACATGATCACGACTTATATTTCTCGTGATCTTGACATAACAAAATGTTGGTGAAAACGTTCTTGTCTTTTGCAGATCTACAGAAAAATATTTTGGGGGCTCTTATATGTCACACTGATGTTGTTTGACATTCATAGAGGTAACGTTGCACCTAATGCACCTAAATTCACATTTACTCCATTGTTTGCTTTTCCAGCTTTTATAAAACTAAATGATGTTTTCTTTGAACAACCTATTGGCATTCTCTGAAATGTGTGCTCTTCTTTGTGGTTAACCAATTGTGGCTTAACATGAGTTAATAACCATGACACAGTTCCAGTCTTAGTTTCTGTTTTACTGATTGGAATAAAATGCATCCTTTTGTGAGTAAAATTCAAATAATTTATATTCAATTAAATTAAATCACTTTTAAAAAAGGAAAAAACCTATTTATCTCTTAAAAATATTATGAAATAATTTTAAATGAATGAATGAATTAAATAAATATTATTTAATTCAAGCATTATATATATATATATATATAAAATTGTGTGTGTGTAGGTGCTGTGTGCTGTCGCCTGTCGTCACTGGGTCGCTGGTTCGAGCCTCTGCATTTCTGTTTGGAGTTTGCATGTTCTCCCTGTGTTCGCGTGGGTTTCCTCCGGGTGCTCCGGTTTCCCCCACAGTCCAAAGACTGTGGTACAGGTGAATTGGGTAGGCTAAACTGTCCGTAGTGTATGAGTGTGTGTTTGTTTCCCAGAGATGGGTTGCGGCTGGAAGGGCATCCGCTGCGTAAAAACATTCTGGATAAGTTGGCTGTTTATTCTGCTGTGGCAACCCCGGATTAATAAAGGGACAAAGCCAAAAAGAAAATGAATGTGTGTGTGTGTGTGTACAGGATATATATATATTTTTTTCTATTATTATTATTTTATGATTATTTAATGCAGTATATTTTGTAAATAATAATGATAAAATAGTAATAATGTCACAATCACCAGCGATCTACAACCTGAGAACGCTGGCAAACACTCACTTTCACATGAACTACAAATCCACCATGTTATGGACTACATATTCAGTCATGCAGCACAGACAAACACACACACACAGCTGCTCCAAGCCTCCTCTGATTAGACTTTCACATGAAGCTGCTCTAGGACTTATTCATGGACTATAAGTACTGCTCAAACACAAACACTGTTGCTGAGTCTTGTCTACTGTTTTAGTGACACTACAATGCGCTTTTCTTTGTCTTGGTTTTCCGTGTTTTGATGCTTGCCTTGTTTATTTGTTTAATCCTGTTTGCTGCCTGTCTAACCATCTGCCTGTTATTTTGACTATGACTCTGGATTGCCCTTATACATCTGTTTGCCTTGTATTGATTACTGCTTGCCTGACCATTCTAATAAACCTGCATGTGGATTCGCACCTCTGTTGTCTGTGTCACATCCCTGGTTACAAATAACAAATAATAATATAATATTTTAATTAAAGAGCCTTTCAAGAAACCTAAGGTCACTGTACAGCATATATACACAATTCAATAATTTAAAAATAAACGGACGGTATAAAAATAGAGCAGATGATAAAATACAAAGACTAATATAGAATGTAGTATGCAGTTATAAAGAGTGAGTTATTTTGAACACATGAGTTTTAAGTCGGCATTTAAACAGAGGGAGAGAGTCAATGTTGCAGATGTCAGGAGGAACAGAATTCCAGAGTTTGACTGAAAGCTCTGCTCCCCATTGCTGAGATGGGCAGAGGGCACAGAGGTGGAGGATCTAGCGGAAATGATGATATAGAGGAGATCAGACAAATAAGGCTGTGCGATGTTACGGATGGCTTTGAATGTATGCAGGATGATTTTATATTTGTTTCAGGCTTGGATTGGAATCCATGCAGTTTAGATCTTGTAAAATGGGGGTGAAATGGTGAAAAGAAGTAATTCTAGTGATGATGAGTTCTGGACCAGTTGAAGCTTATGGAAGGATTTCTGTGGAATATTCATTATTATCATAGATAAGGGGATAATTTACATGGTTATTTTAAACATGTATTAAATTTAGCATTATATAATATAAAAGTATATCTCTGTTTTTGCAATAAATTTTATTTGAAGTAAAAAAAAACATATCCTCAAATGATTAAAATAATTAAATAAAAATGATTTTTAAAAAAATGAGCAAATAACAGTGTGCGTAATATACAGAGCAGCAATATGAGGTTTTACATTTTTAACAAGTAAATATATAATAAATTAAATAAATTTTTAAATCAAATTAAATCAATTTTAATACATTTTTTATTGACAAAATCAGTTAATAGTTCAAGAAAACAAACAAACAAAAAATAAATAAAATTTTAAAAAGTATATAAGAAGGTCGCTGGGTCGCTGGTTCGAACCTCGGCTCAGTTGGCGTCTCTGTGTGGAGTTTGTATGTTCTCCATGCATTCGCGTGGGGGTTTCCTCCAGGTGCTCCGATTTCCACCACAGTCCAAAGACATGCGTTACAGGTGAATTGAGTAGGCTAAATTGTCCGTAGGGTATGAGTGTGTGTGTGTGTGTGTGTGTGTGTGTGGATGTTTCCCGAAGATGGGTTGCAGCTGGAAGGGTCTCCACTGCGTAAAAACATGCTGGATAAGTTGGTGGTTCATTCTGCTGTGGCGACCCCGGATTAATAAAGGGACTAAGCCAACAAGAAAATTAATGAATGAAAAAAGTATATACATATATATATATATGTGTGTGTGTGTGTGTGTGTGTGTGTGTGTGTGTGTGTGTGTGTGTGTGTGTGTGTGTGTATAATTCACATTTCTTCTTGATTTGTTTTTTTTATTTATGTGTTTATATTTCCCCAAAATTATACACATCACATATTTAATTCAATGTAGAGTCCTCTGTTTTAAATACCTTGTTACATATGTGTTGCCGCATTGTTTTTTTTCTTCACCTTTAACAGGTAGGGCAGGCTACGGGATCAAATTTCAGGAATGTGCCACCTGTAGGTGAATGTTTGTAGGAATGGTGGGTGGAGCTGTAAAGGAGGAGCTGCTCAGCAAGTGTCTCCTTAGTATTTCCTGGTCTGTTCAAATGAAATGCTTGAAACACTCATAGTAAACTCTTACCGTCAGATGTAAATGATTGCTCCTCCAACATGGTAAGCTGTCTCTTCTATTCTTGTATGGAATTCCTTGTTGTAGATAGTTATAACTTCTGTTGTTTGATTGTTTATACATGTTTTATGTCTAATGGGTACATGACTGCTGGTTTATGTTTGTGGGTCTGTCTACATTAGAAGGTTTTTTAATTCAGTGCCTATGTACTATTGTTTTAACTGAAGACACAGTTAATGTAAAAGTTATATGTTCAAGTTGTGTGAGAACACTTTTATACCACTCCTATAGCAACAGGATAAAACCAGTTTGTCTTCTTTTAGGTTGGGGTAAAGTTGGTTGTATATTTGCACATTCCTTCAGTGACAGCTTGTGACATGCTACTTATATTGTTTACCATGGTACTTTGAACATTAGGTCTGAAATCACGCGCAAGTATGACTTCAAAACAACATTAGCATTATTTATTTGACTGTGAACAATGTTTGGTAGCCATTGGCTGCTAATATAATTTTCTTTTTAAAAATGTATTAAAAGAATAATTTTCTGGAATGATACTATTAAGGAGAAAGTCTGAATATGTGAATATAAAACCAACTCAGTTGTAGCTTTAGAGTCTTTAAAATGTACACAATCTGACAACGAGCCTCTAAAATAAACAGACTGTTTGTTTAAGTTCATTGTGCAGTGGTGTGTATTTTATTTGACTTCAATAGCTTTAATGCTGTGCAAATCTTATTTTGTATGTCTGCCATTAAAGGGGTAGTTCACCCCAAAAATGAAAGTTCACTCACTGTTTACTCCCCCTCAAGTGGTTTTAAGTCTTATTGAGTTTCTTTATTGTGATGAACACACAAAAAAATTATATTTTGAAGAAGCCTGTAACCACTGATATCTATTGTAGAAAAAAACTATATAAATCAATGGTTACAGTTTCCCAACTTTCTTGTGAAGAGTTCAGATGCAAAAACCTCAAAGTGCAATGTGAAATTTTCCTCTAAAATTTGTTTTTCTCAGCCCCTTTATTTATGTTCAGTTATTTCACTTTAAAGGGGATTAAAAACTGCCAATTCTTTGCGCTGAGAGTACAATTACTGGAACTACACGCAACAGTTTGAGGAAAATGCTAGTTTTAGATGAAAATTTCATATAGCACTTAAAGGTTTTTGCATCTAAACTCTTTATATATA